TGAGATATTTCCAGGAAACGTAGAGGATAGACACAAAGACATTTTATTTATTTTTTCCCTCGTCTTCTTGTTGTTTTTCTCTCCAGTTCATTTTCGGTGGTTTCATAACTCACTTTTTTCCCTCTTTACAGTTAGCCTTCTCTGTCCTTATTCAGGGAATAAAGCCAGCATCTCTGCTGAGTTGACTTCCTGTGCTTTCTGATAAACCTTTAATTCCCCTGGTGCGTGTTTTTGTATCCGTCCACAGATTTGCGGGGAGCTTGTTTTACTTGGTTTAATTTCCTCAGAATAAAGCTCATCTGATCTTCCCACCCAGGCTTGCGTGTGGCATTAGGTCTTCATTTTCATTAATGTTGGAGGGGCAACATAGGAATCTCATTTTAATTTGACATTTAAACATCTGCTTTCAATTTCCTGTGGAAAAGGCTGGCTGTGTCTCTGTGGACAGAGGATCGCTGAAAAACGGTGAGTTTCCAGAACTGAAAGCAGCCATCAGAGCTGACCTTTAGGAGACGGTTTGAATCAAATCTGGTTGTCGCCTTTTTAGTGCCAAAACTGAGACCATAGCACATCCAATGATGGCAACTTCCTTGGCGCAGGACACTATAGTCATTCTGAAGCCATCTACTGCTCTGATTGATGATAGGTTGGAAACATTAGCTAAGAAGCCACCACTGACTTGTAAGAAGGGAACTACTCACTAGCTGTGTTTCCATTTAAACAGAAATGGAATTGAAATCATACGTGGATAGGTTTGTCATTAAAAAATATCCTCGTACTCTGTTGTCTTTTTCGCCATTACTCACATCTGGTTGCTCATCACGTGACTCATGTGATACAAAAAACGTGCTCTGTGTATTTTTGTAGACAATTAAGAAAAAAATGTGCATCCTCACATCAGGATGCAGCAAGAGGATGTAGTAGATATGCTGGACCAAGAAATGAGCTAAAACAAACAACAACAACAAAAACACGGTACAGTTATTGTTGTTTTTTTTTTTTTTTTGCATTTGACTGACATTAGTCTTTGAAAACTATTGAAAAAGGTTATTATGCTAGTTCATAAATGCTGTTACATGTGGACATTTCTCATGTGGTCCTTTTGGCTTTGATCAGTCTGCTCTAGATTGATCAGGGATCCTGTTGAAGCAGTGGAGAGCTGCAATATTAAATGCAACACTGAAGCAAAACTAAAGTACTACAACTCAGTTGCAAACATACCAAGACATGTGGGCTGTTCACCTAAACTGACAGGAATAGAGTGGAGGGAATAAACCAGACAAGCAGCCAAGAGGCACATGGTCTCTGGAGAATTTGTTGACAAGGCAAATTTTACTTGTGCACTTCTTCGCTCCTTTTGGATATTGCCCTAAAAACACCATCTCCATAGCAGAACATCTTGATAACATGTCGTGGTCAACCGTGTCAAATGCTGCGCTGAGGTCCAACAGAACCAACACTGTGGTTCTTCCACAGTCTGTATTTATGTGGATGTCCTTGAACACTTTGACGAGGGCAGTCTCAGTACTGCGGTGAGCACAGAAACTGGACTGAAAGACGTCAAAGCGGTTGGTTATTGTTTAGAAACTATTTAGTTGTTGAAACACGGCTTTTTTTTTTTCTAGAACTAGAAAATCTGAAAACCATGGCTCATTCTTTCTTCACTTCACAATAGTTTTTTTTTTTTTTTTGTGCTGATAAAAACCACCATAAAATGTGCTGAGGGTTAGTATTGGTACTGTACCAGAATGTGAGCAAGCTCAAGGTGTCTTTACTGAACAAACTGGTAGAGAATGGCACATTAAAGCCTGAGTTAGAAAGCCAGCAGATGTTAGAAATGTGTTTTGAGAAATACGTTTGTCTTGTGCAGAGTCAGCAGTCTCACAGCATGGCTTGTCGGTCATACGAGACAAGAAGTGTTTTGTTCTGACCAATGAAAAGAGAAAATGGGGTGCAGAAAGGATCCCTTTACCTTGACCAAGCAAATTGATATCTGTCCAGGTCCGGATATCCGCCCTGCTCCATCCCATCATCAGCATATTTGAACAGATCCAAGATGGACAAAGAGCCGTCTTCATGCTGAGAGCTGTGGCTGTGGCCTATTTCCACATATTAGTCTACAAAATGAAAATCTCCGTGTGCGCACACATTCACAAACACACACACACACACACACACACATACACACACACTGAGTCTAGCTTTCCTGTTAATAGCCCGGGAAATATTATCTGTTAGGGGACAGCTGCAAACTCACAGTAGAGACAGAATAGTGGGGTTGGCTCATTATCCTAAACACAGATACAGACCACACCATACACCCCAAGGACAGCATAGAGTGTGACAGCATTTCCCCCCCTTCTGTCCCTTTTAGAGTCGAAAAAGGGGGACATAAAGGGTGTGTAGGTCTTTATGATACAGGAAGTATCGGAGTCGGATCGATCCAAGAGGACCAGAGGCAAGCCATTCCATCACAGGTCGGCCTCAGACAAGTAGAGGAGTTCAGTGCATCCGGATCCAGACCCGTTTGTCTGTCTGGGAGACTGTCTGGCTGCCTCCATCCCAGAGGAATTTGTTTTCCACTTCACAGATGTTCAGGGTTGTCTGCTGCGCTGTACTCAGCTGTGTTTATAACAAAGAGGTGTTGGTTTGGAGGAGGAGAGGGCAAGGAGGTGGGGGGAGTGCGCGCCAACGGGGAGGGGTTGGAGGTCACCATGCTGATGGTGTAAACACTAAAAGATGCCAACGCCCCTCCCCCCCACCCCTATTCCTCAGGCTCTTGACATGTAATTTATTTCTTTCCTTGTTTCACTTTTACAAGTTACAATTTTTTTCTTATCCCAAAAGAGCCTTGCATGTGGAAAAAACGACAGTAAGCCCGTTTGGGGTGATGGAGACAGAGCGCAATTATTGTTACACCTACCAAAACCACTCCAAAATGCATTCATTACACTCCACACTGGAGCCCAGTCTTTATTTTGAATGTTTAAGTGGATCTCAATCATGGGATGATCTGAGTCAGAGCTGGCAGCCTGCATTTTCAAGCGTTTGGCTCGTTTAGCTCCTCAAGGCTGCGGATTCGTTCAGTAATCCTCTTTAGACCAGATTGGCTTTGCTCACACAAATATGGAGTGTTTCTTCAGATGGAGTTGATGCTTTAATGGATCGGATGTTTAGTGTTTACATTCGCGTTCCCGAATGACTCGATCCTTTGGTAACCACACGGCACGAACACAGCACACAGCTGGGGCGCTGAGTAAGGGCCTGAGATCTGGGACGTCCATCATGCAACTGCAGTTCATGTGGTTTGTGAATAGATGTGTGGATGTACGGCGTGCCTCCCCCGCAGCAGATGAGTCAGACCATTCTAGTAAAATATCACTGGTGAAATATGGTGGTGTTCTTCTAAATCAACACCAGTTTGGTTGCGTCAATGTGATTATGCAATGAAGGGCGGCTCTTGTTTTTTAAACACAAAAATCTTCTGAAGTTGAAAAGTCAGCATTACTGGAAGCACCAAGTAGAGTCGGACTTACTAAAAAATGTAAAGATTTAAAGAATTTGGTGACTGTCAGGAGGCAAAGGGTCTGTCAATGGGCCTCACGTTCACTTTAGACTTAAATGACTTTAGAGCAATTAAAAGCAACAGATCCGAATATGTAGGGTTTTTGTTAAGAAAAAAAAAGATTAAGAAACATTAAAACATACAGAACTGATATGTGTGTTCAAACACTGAAGTGCAGGAACATACAGACAGATGGGTTTTTTGATTTTGTCCATATATCTTAGCATATATGAACAAATTAATAAGTTTTATTCACAATCCCTTTTCTCATTAGAGATGAATTATGTCTAATGGTATTTTTTGATTGACCAGCTAATATCGATTTTAGGCAACTTAAATTTCTCTTTACGAATCAAAAGTGCGAGAACGGCATTAAAAATAGATTTTTCTCTTAGCTGTGCTGTATTGAGCTGTAATTAATGATCTATATTCAGAGATGTTGTAGTGAGCAGTTGCTGTAAATGTGATCTGAAAATGGAGAAAATAATTGGTGCTATGTTAATAAACTGAATTAAAATGAACTTCTACACCTGAGAGTCACATTAATGTTACCACCAGGTAGCACTTGCGTATAGTTTGTTAACATATGTCAGCATGTTTCAGCCTTTTCACCAGTTAGCCCTAAACAACATGACACACTGGCCACTTCTGGCTTGTTGCCACATTTCTAGTCGTTGTTCATCTAAAGCAACATTCAAACCTAATGGAGAGACTTTTGTTCGACTTTCAGTTTTCCTTACATTGATGGCTCCTCTGGTGGATTCTGATGACTTGTGGTCATCTTTGCAATTTTTCATTGAAGCTCTCAAACGAACACCAGAATCACTCAGTTCATCGTGTCGGATCCACGCCGTGTGGGACTGATATGAATAAAACAGATCTGAGATTAAGAACATGGCGCCGTCTTTCAGGTTTGTAATGAAAATCCAAAGTTACATCACCGCTTTGTTTTATCCCTTCCAGTTGGTATAATCTATGTGAGTAAAACTGCCGTTGTGTTGCTACCAAGATGAGAACGGAGGGGGATGAATATGATGTAGAGAATTTATGTTGGGTGATTGCAGGAGAGAGAAACATACAGGGCCATAGGAAGATGAAGTATTGGTGATTGAGAACTGAAGAGGAACATATGCTGAATGTATGAATGTGTGCATGATTATTCTATTTGCCAGTCTATATGAGCCAAAACGAAGGTCCGGTCCATGAGAAATGCTGATGGACATGCAGTTATGTACCTGAATGACAGGAAGGTTAACTTTCTTTCAATTTGGTCTGCATTGCAGGCAACACATCAGCAGAGATACGTTTCAAAATGCATGTTAAAAAAACCCTACGTACTCCACTGTGTACAGCATACTAAACAGGACTAACAGTCAGTTGTTTTTTCTTCCACAGTATTTCACTGAAGTGATCTTTTCCTTTTTGTTTCTTGCAGTTCTACGAGACGACTTCAGGCAAAACCCTGCAGATGTGATTGTTGCAGCTGGAGAGCCGGCCGTCCTGGAGTGCCAGCCTCCACGCGGTCACCCTGAACCCACCATATCATGGAAAAAAGACGGAGTCAATATTGATGACAGAGATGAGAGGATCACTGTAAGTACTTCACATCACCGTTTGTATTGTTGCACTGCTTCTTTTGTTTCTTCATTTGACATGTATGGATTATTGTGAGACTCATCATCAATTTACAGTTCTTGTAAAGTTCTGTCCCAGTGATATTAAATTTTTTCCCCAACTCTGGTTTGTATTTACAATTACAAAAAAAAAAGAGTTAAAAACATTTTACCCTGTCTTGATGGCCTTAATAGTAAGGAGAGGAAGGCAACTTTGTATGTTATTAAATAAGGCAATGTGTTGCCACATAAAAATACCAAACTTGTCTCTCATTTCCAGGGTCACAACTTCCATACTCAAGAGAACTATAAGCATACATTAGCAACACTCTATTTGATTTAGCTTTACCCAAAATTCTGGTGAAGACCAGCATCTTGTTCTTTGCTTTGCTTTGTACAGAGGATCTGGACTATTGGGAAACAATTGCTTCCTCTGCTGACGTTTTCATTTGTAACCAAAATTACAATATGTATGTATTCATGCCAACGTTTGGCTGTGAGATATGTAATGTGCCGCTTCCACTCTATAAAGGTTTCTGGACATTTCCTGCCCTTTAAAGAAAGTCTTGCTCTCGCTCTCTTTTAGGGTGCGTTCTCACTGGCCTTGTTTAGTCTGCTTAAATCAAACTCTAGTTTGTTTCCCTAGAAAGTCTGGTTCGTTTGAAAATGAACTCTGATCCACCTTATAATCTAGGTCTTGGGCCGGTACAAGTGAACTCTGCTGTGGTTCAAAATGTACATGTGAATGCCAAGAGGAGTAGGAACCGCTCCAAAAGCAGGAAGTGGACGGTAGAGCAGGGGATTCTGGGTAAATACAACCTACTAGCAGGAGAAAGAGATTGTGTTTTGACCAAGACAAAAAAGAAATTCTACAACCGCCAAAATCTTAGCTCCACTTCATTTTTCTTTACCTTTTTTGAAGAAAGCTGAGCTCAGTGTCTTCTTCGGAGCTTATGTGTTGTTTCCTTCATCTGTTTCTGGTCACTATCAGATGTGAAAACACCCTTAAAGTCACAATTAGTAACAATTACGCCATCACACTGTTCTGGCCAATTTCTTGTTGCATCTTCGTTTTGATGACCCTGTGATGGAGGGAAAAGAAATCCTCAGCTGAAAAGTTTGATTATTTTTGGATTTGTTAATGTAGGTCACAGTTGGTCCTGTTTCATTAGTCAGGACTCTTGTATTGATTAGGCTGTATTGATGAGGAATCAAAGGAGAGAAAGTTTTACTCAGCAGCTCTTCAGTTGTAGAATCCATACAGCTTTCTGCAAACAGCGTTCATTAAAAGACCAGCAAAGCCAGCAACCTTTTCATCAATCAGCTCCATGTGTGCACTTACAAACGATCTGAGCAGAATTTCTGTATTCATTAATTTAAAGAGGATGTTTTCTTAAAATCTTCTTTTCCAAGAATTCAACCAAGCACAAATTTGTGCTGCAAATTGATGAATGATTGCTGTTTCACAAACTGTCTTTAGCAAAGAACTGTAAACAGTTTCTCAAATGAGAACAGTTGAGTTTAAAAAGGCTCCTAAACAAGGCAGCTATTGTTTATTTTCACTAAGAGCCACCGTGAAAGATTAGCAGACCATGCTTTGCTGCTAAAGAGCAAAACTGAAAGAAATGAGCAAGAAATCTAGTTAAAGGGAAGTATATATCATGCTTGATCTGTCACTGCAGACGTGGTGGAAAGACACATGAAAGCATTTTGTGAGATGGCTTTATTCATCTCTTGTGTCTTATTTAATCTGGTAGAATATAAAAAAGAACATCATGAACCTGGTTTGCCAGTCTCTCAGCGGTGGCCATTGCCCGATCCCAAGTGGAAAACAGTAACTTTACATTTCTGAAGTATTTCTTCTTTGTTTTCTTTATGCTTTGTTCAACTATTATTATTCCATTTAAACCCAATAATTTGTTGACATCCTCTGTTTTTATCTCTTTTTTTTCGTCACACTTGACATATTTTGAATGAAGATTGTGAATACTGCTGCCACCGCTGCTTGCTGGCCAAATGACACTGAATTGTTCTTCTGTAGCCTGCGGCGGGTTGCAGGCTCTGAGCAGCTGCTGTTGCTCACCATAAACTTCCCATCAAACATGCTGTGCTCCCTGACGACCTCTTCAATCGGCCTGCTAGATGTCGTGTTTGACCGTCTGAAAATGTGTAATCAGCTGTGCTGATGGGTGGCTGCCTGGATGCCACGTCAGCAGAATTGGGAGAATCATGGGACATCGTCCAGAGTTTGTTTATGTTACTGTAAATTTGGTGACTGGACGTGGGAGGGAGGAGGTTGGAATTTGTTTTAATGGGACGAACAGCTGAGATTGTTATAGGGGGTTCTTCTCAGCCAGCCTGCATGCTAACGCTTTGTTCAGTTCACTCTTTCTCCTTTGCAACATGCTGAAACGTGCGGTCTCCTTGGTGATCCTACCAAGGTCTTAAACCACCTGCAGACGGGATTTTCTTTTTTGAACATGGATGGTATGTCATATAGGACATTCTGGTCATTATTTTTAGCCCTCAACACACATCTAAACCAGTTAAGTATTGGTATTTCGTTTCGTTAAGATAATTGTGTGCAAAAGCAGTTGAAAACTTAACTCACTCACTAGATGCTGTAATCTCTCCTGCCCATTTTGCCTGACTGGGAGAGATATTTTGTCCCAATCAGAGTTTCTGCTGGTCAGTTTCAATATGCTGCTCTAAAATGGGTTTACCCAGTTAAATCACAAATTGTCTGTGATTTTTTTTACAGACAATCTGAAAAAAAATCAAGCTCCTCAGCTTTCTCCCTGTGGTCCTGCTGTCATCTGAACAAATGCATCGTAACATAGGAAACTACCAATCAGAGCCAGGAGGAGGGTCTAAGCACTGTCAATCTACCTTGTGTACATGCTGCTCAGATCTTCTCCTTTGCTCTGCAAAGATATTGTGTCTCATTATGTGACATTAAAATTTTAACAAAATACGCAAAAAAACATTTTTTATAAGTGACATACTAAATGTTCTGTCAATCTGTGTGTGCATTTGTTCATTGTGTTTTAAAAAGTTCTATTTCTCCTGCTAACCATACCTTGTTGAAATGTTTACCGTCTGTTTTAATGTGACTTGTTAATAATTTGGTTCAAACATAAATCTCTTAATTACGTTCACACTAAACTTCATTGGGTCATCATACAGCTTAAACTGTACATCTCAGCACAGACAAACCAGGTAGCATAGCACACACCGGCTATGGATGCTGTGCTACCCGCACAGACAGATTTGAAAGGATTCCCACAGCGACGTGAGAAGTAATGTCTTTTAGCCACATATTGCTTCTGCTAGTCACGGCTGCAGAACTAGTCTATCAGGAACAAGGCAGAGGGGGGAAAAAATAAACAAAGAAAAGAAAAAATCCAAGCACTTAAACCTTGTCAAATGTCTGCTTTGCTCTAGAGCTTTTCAGGAGCATAGTAAACGGCAGAAAAGCAGCACATTGTCCCCTTCCTTTTGTGTTATTGTTGTGGCTAATAACATGCTTGGAAAATGAACTGCTGTGTGGATTTGAACAAACACGATTTTGCATGTGGGGGGTTTCACATTATCAACAATGCCAAATGACATGAGACAAAAGGCGGCAGGATAGAGCTGTCTCCCCGTAATGCAGGGATAATAGTCAGATTGTTGGGACTTTCGACAGGCTTGTGCGCTGCGAGAAGAGAATGTGTGCATAGGGGAAAAAGAAGAGATTCACCACATTCATCGTCTTTAGCCCAGCCTCAGGGTTCCTGCTGCTCTGGCTCTCCACGTATTCTGGGGGAAATGCCGAAACTACAGATATGCAGTTGCAAGAATCAGAATGGGCTGGCCTTAAGGTGATCCTAATGCCAAAGCCCTGTGGAAACCATGGTACACCCCCTTTCTGAGCTCTTTGAGCCGCCCTGACCCTGGTCCTTTGTGATTGTCACAGTATTTTAGCTGTTAAGCCTTTCCTCAAACAAACAGTAACATAATGATACTTCAAACCTTTCCAGCTCCACAGGGTGCCCTAAATAAGCCAGTCTTCTAAAACCTGTCTGTCTCCTGCTTTATTATTCATTTTAAACAGAGGGTGAAGGGCAGAGGAATACCGCCGGACCATAAGATTTGTCTTTAATCAGTCTTAAGTTTCCTGATTCTAACATGTGAAGTGGTCTCATGTAGACTAATGGAGATGTCAGAAGAATGTTGGCTGTTCAAGATTTAAACCAATAGTATCTTTGCCTGTGTTGGTGTTGTGTTTAGACTGATGTGTCATGTTTTTTTGTTGTTGTTGTTTTTCTGTTGGTTTTTTTTTAGCCAAAAGAGCAATTAGGTTCATCTTTGGTTCCATCTGTACAAAGCACCTTGTTCCACATGCTTGCTGTGCCCCCTTCCTAACCCTGTTTGCAGTCTACCAACAAACAAGAAAGACCTTAGAGCAGGTGTTTTTTTAAATGGCAGCATCTGTGGCAAGTTAGGAAACAGTGTGTCATCGGCGTAATCATGGTGACCTCATGGGCATATTAAGTGCTGTGTTGTAGATTCATCAGGAGGTCATAAAATGTGGGCCGTTCTAACATAACATTCCTCACTTAAAGCCAGGAGTTTTCAAATCCTGAACTCCAAGGCTGTTGTCCTGCCACTTTTACATCCTACACACCTGAATCAAATTGCTGAATCATCTCTTCGATAAACAGTCACGTTTTCCAGAGTCCCGCTCATGATCTCAGTATTTGACTCTGGTGTGTTTAAAGCAAGCACATCTAAAAGTTGCAGGACTCCAGGCCTCAAGGTCTGGATTTGAAAAGTCCCTCTATAATCCCTTCCATCATAGATCTGGTTATTTTTGAAGCTGTGTCCCTATGAAAGGGCTATTGTACCCTGAGGTTTTCTGCCAGGACTTCCCTAGATTTAACTCCATCATCTTTGCTTCAAATGTTGAAGAAAACTAGCTATGCGACATGATACTGCATCCAACATGTTGATTTCTGTCTGTTTTGAACAGACCACCTTCCTCAGTTGCTGCCGTGTTCTTCACATGGTTTGTGGCTTTATCAGAATGTCCCATTGTTAAAGGACAGCCAAAAGAACCTCATGGATACATAATGTGATGTGATGCACATCAACTGAGACATCACAGAATGTGTGGGATCATCCCGGCAATGGAGTTTTAACAAGGTAGTCATGGGCAGATCAGACTTTTGTGATATAGTGTGTCAGGTTCTCTGTCAGTGCTTTTCTAATGGGGATATCGATTACATGCTTGCAGGAGGTAAAGCTGCTCCTGAAGGCTGATGTGTGCATTTAAAACCTTAAGCTGTATCTGAGCAGAGAGATCACTGGCACACCATGCTATTGTCTGGGTCTGTACCGACTGCCACGGTTGTCAGCTCACAGGGCTGCTGATGGGCCTGTGCCGGGGCCCCGCGATGCCTTTCTGACTGCCTGAGAACAAAGCATCTCCTCTGGCCTGTAATCAAAGCCCTGGGAAATAACAGACATGATGTTCACCTGGATAAACACACATTTACCAGCGGGTGTGTGTGTGTCTGTGCCATTCACTTGATGCCAAGAAGAATGCTCTCAAAAGTGTTCCCAGTTCAATGATGGTCTGAGTTGTTTGAGATGACTGGAGGAGTGCTTGTGGTCCCAGCAGTGCCTCAGGTGTTACCTCAGGGACTGAGTCTTTTAAATGGCTAACCCTGAGGAGGAACAGGCCAACTGACTGCCAACAATAGGAAGAAGCTGAAGAAATTCCTGTTTTTGTTTGTACAAGGACAAATATAAAACTGCTGTAATCACATCCTTAATATATTTTTGTTAGCATGCTATTGTGTACACTGTCTTGTCTTACTTTTTGAAGTTTTCCACATTTTGTCACATGTCCTTTAAGCTGAAGTTTGTGACTGAACAGGAAGTAAAAAAGATAAATGGTTTTCAAATTGTTTTACACAAACAACTTGAACATTGTTGTGTTTATTAGCAGACAGGACCAAGCTAAAGGGTTTCCTGTGCTAACCCTAATAAACTAAACAAAAACATCAGTTCTGCTGTTGCAAAAGCACAATAGCAACATGGTATTTAGCTGAAGCTAATGCTAAAACGCTAATATCAATTAGCGCTCAAGTCAAATTATATCTGCTTTTGAAAAATTACTACCCTAAAATTTTATCTTGACATTATATATTACATGTTTAAAATGTCTTGACTTTATTAAACTAAAACAGAAAAGAAAATGAGTGCTTCAGAATTTATCTGGAAAAATGAATTTAGATGAAACAAAATGTGCTAAATGTTTTCAAAGTTGGCAAAAGCAGAAAGCAAAAAAAAAAGACCTTCGCTACTAGTTGATGTCTTTTATCATATGTCACTACCAGCTTTCCACGTCCAGAGACTCAGTTGTTGTCCAGTCTTCTTTCCAAATCAGATCAACATCAGTCAGATTGGATGGATTTTTTTTTTCCTTGTGTCAATAGTATGTCAATGGTAAACAGTGTAACTTTCTTGTTCTCCACATTTAGGTTCTAATTACCTTTTTGTATCTACTCAGATACGTGGAGGCAAGCTGATGATCACGAATGCCCGCAAGAGTGATGCTGGGAAGTATGTATGCGTCGGCACAAATATGGTCGGAGAGCGTGAAAGTGAAATAGCTGAACTGACGGTTCTGGGTAATTAAACTTCTATTTTTTTTTGTTTCTCTCTTCTTTGCCGCATGCCAACCCATTGGTTAATTCTCTTCTTTTTGTTTATCTGCTGTAAAAACAAAGTCCAGATGTTTAGTCTCTGACATGCAGGGTACAAAATGATGTCGCTGACCTTTAGCCCACAGTGTGACAAGACTCACAGTCTCTCTATAAACCGGGTTCCTGGGTTGCTTATTGCAGCTTCTTGTCTGTGAGCAGCTGGACTAGATTTCACATGAGTCACCTTTGACCCAGATACTCATCTGGGCCCCGAACAAAGCAAAGGTTCCTAATTACATCACTAACTGGCTCGTAATACATCACATGCTGTCATCAGAGCACCTATAAGACTCTAGGTATTTTTATCTTAAATTTACATGAACATTGCATCAAGTTTTGTAATAGTTGCAAACTGTTGGGATGCGTGGATAAGACAAAGTGTGAGTATTAGTTTAGGTCAGGTGTCATCTGGAAGATATTTGATCCTGGGTTTTGATTTATAGAGGATTCTGTGATTATAAACAATGTAACACATCCAGGTGTTTCCTTTCTCTGCCTTGGTTTTATCTATTTGCAATACATTCACTACTGTGTCTTCTTCTACTTCTGAACATGTCTTTTTTTACGTGAAAAGATTCTCAACCTTATTTTGTGGACAAAATGCTCTTTTTTTAAATTAATTTGAGGAATTTTGTTGGTAAAAGGTGCCAGAAAGCAATTAGTGAAGACTGCTTTGTTTTATTAAATTTCTATTAATAGTAGTTCTAATAATGTGTATATGAGAGCAGAAATAATTTTTATTTTTCTAATTAATTTGATACTAATCTTGGCCATTTTCCGTAAAAATATACATGTTGTTTCAGACTAAAGGAATTTCAAATTATTTTATTATGCGCTTTTATACAAATTACTAGATAAATTTTAAGACGGTAGAATAAAGAGGCAACTAAAGAGAGGGAAAGTATATTGCAAAGGTACGAGTGAACAAAGTTCAAAAGTAGTTCCTAGTAAAATAGTCGGATGGAAAAATAATGAAATTTGTTAATATTTTTGTTTATATTATTTGAGGGGTTTAAGTGCACAGAATGATAATAATACTCACAGTGGTAAACAGCTAGCTTAATGGCTAGATAGCTAGATGGATGTCTGCTTTATTGATTTCCTGTCTTCTTTCTGCAGAGCGTCCCAGCTTTGTGCGTCGCCCGAGCAGCACTGTGGTCTTAGTGGACCAAAGTGTGGAATTTAAGTGTGAGGCTCGTGGTGATCCAGTTCCCACTGTACGCTGGAGGAAAGACGACGGCGACCTCCCTAAAGGACGGTATGACTCATCCAAGCAAAGACTCCTTTTTTGATCCCTTTGCCTGCGCCTGGGGTTATTTCTGCTTTCCGAACATTTTATTCATCTGGGCCTTTACATATCCAGATACGAGATCCGTGAGGACCACACCCTGAAGATCCGCCGCGTGATCTCCGCTGACGTAGGTTCCTACACGTGTGTGGCAGAGAACATGGTGGGGAAGGCGGAGGCCTCAGCCACGCTCACCGTCCACGGTAGGCCACACTACGGTTCAATAACACTGTATAAGTCTAAAGTTTTACCCTGATTTGGCTTTGCAACATGTGTTATTAATAGCCCCTTGGACAGCCGCTCTAAATTCATTTCCATTTTAAGTTTTAGTGCGGCTTGATTGAAAAGTAATTTAGCCCAGCTACAAAGCAATAATAGCCACCAGCATAGCTACTATATGATCATCACTTTAAACTCTCCTCTCTCTCAATTAGCTGATTGATTTCTAATAAAAAAGAATCCTAAAATCTATAATGGTTGTAGAGCTATTGCACATGGGAGCTCAGCACCAATCGATTTAATGTGCCTTATACAAGTAGTATTTCTCTAGAGGCACTTCGTCCCTCATGTTTTCAGACTTACAGTACCGTTCGAGAACCAATGGAATATATGTGTGTGTCTCCTGTGGCCCTCTCAATTGGACCTCTTATTAACACGGTCGGACTATAAAGCAGCTGGTCACAGAGTGTGAACATTCAGAAAGAAACCATTCAGGGAAAATAGGAGGTGGGTGGGATCACCCCCCCAAAAGTCTCCTGAGACTCAGGGGAACACTGGGGCCATTTAACGGCAAAACTAATGGGAATGTTTGGAGTCTGGTGAGACAAGAGGGGAGGGAAGAAGGGAGTAAGCTTTGAGCACAAAGAACGAGGATTGGACAGAGGGGATACGGTGAGGGCGAATGCCGGCGTTTGAGGGTTGGCTCACAATTGATGCGGAACGGGTTGGGATTTGGGGCTGGGGGCGATAGTTGGGGAGAAGGGCTGGTGGTGGTGAAGAGAAATTTCTGCAGTGAGGTCAGTCATATTAATGTCACCACCAGCAGAAATTTAAAGAGACAAGGCATCTCTTTTCATCTGCCAACCCCCTAGAAGGAAACCCGAATAGCTCATTTTCACATGGCTACCCTTTACAATTACTTCCCACTTCGCTCAGTAAGACACCAAACCTTAGATTGGTTTGAGGCATAAGATTAGGTCCACCTGCCAATACGTACGTCAATATATCTCCTCTTATTGCTTTTTTTCTCCCCCATTCTTTCTCCTCCCTTGACAGAAGGTTAGTTAATGAAAGGGAACTGAATTGATGCATGGCTCAATAAGCTGTTCTCCTGACTTAGAATCATATTTGAAATGCTAAAACCTCCCCTGTCCTCAGTGGAAATTAAATGTCCTAACCTCAGGGCAATTCCCTGCTGTCTGCATGATCGTACTAAAGCACGGACTTTCTTTTTTTTCCTTCCTTTCTTTCTTCATACATCATGCCTTTCAACTTGCAATCTGGTGAGAGTTAAATCGTGCAAATCCTCAGTTGTCTTTACTTCAGCCAAGACAACTCTTGCCACAGTTATGAAGAGGAATGTTTAAAAAAAAATGATGGCATGGCAGAAATCATATTGTTTAAATCAGATGCTGACTGATGCCCAGAACAATTTCCACTCTCTCCTCAGAGTGAAGTTCAAGCAGGCCGAGATACACAGAGGCCAGCGAGGCTGTGGGTAGAGAGTAGTCCAGCTAATTAAAGGCAAGCGGGCCACAGTCCCACGCTCGGAAATGACATGCTTCTAATTACAGACGCGGGCACAGGGATGGAAAGAAAATCTGGGTAATTGTAGGTCTAAATGGGCCAAAGCAGAAGGGACGATGTATAGGTAGAGGGATGTCGCTGTAGTAGTGAAGAAACCTGTGATGTGGGGAGCAACAGTTTAGTTTGTCGGTTTAGCGACCGCCGCCGTCAGCCTGCATCAAATCTCCAGAGTCGGGCTCTGTTGCTTAGCTTCTGTGACAGAGGACCTGCAGAATGACAATAATTCAGAGGTAAAACATACAGACGCTTTGGATAAAAACAATTCAAGATTTTACCACTATTGTTTGGAAAACGAAGAATCTCCTTTGTTGTTTTTGCAAGTTGTGTTTAAAGAATTTTAAAATAGTGTAGAAAAATTCAGAAGAGTTTTATTTATTTCGTCATAAGCCCATCGCAAAAGTGGTCCTAATCCTACCAAAGTGTTGAAAATGCTTCCACTGTGAGAATGACAAACGACATAGTAATTATTTGCACAAAGTGTACGAACGCCATGACTCTGGGTAACCGTCAACCAGTCTTAATCATGACACATCAGACTCTCTTATAATAAACGTATTATTTGGAATCAACTTCACTTTAACATTCTTAGAGTACTTAGGGATATATGATATATTGCCATTAATATCTGTATCAGTCCAGTAAATAAAACTGAGATGATATTAACAACCAACACTTATTTCCATCTTGTTGCAGAATGGGGGAGGGGCCGAGGTCGGTCATGTGGTTTTTGTTTGGTCATGTGACAGTGATAGGGATGTAGCAAACGATTGTGAGGAGTTTAACTCAAGCAGTGATGAAGTCAGATGCATCAGCAGTATTTTAGCAGCTTTAGCAGCTTTTTATTTTAAGCTCTTGAAAAGGTTGTGAAATATTTATAAAATGAGTAAATATCAGCTGTCGGCTATAAAAGCAATATTAATAATGGATATAGATAATGGTACAAATTTTCATACTGGTGCATTTGGAAGAGTAATTAAAGATCAGAGCAAAGAAAAAAAAATCATATGTGGGATTCTTCAAATGCACATGTTGATTCAGCATCTACAGCTCTGGAAAAAGTTCAGAGGCCACTGCAAAATGATCAGTTTACCCAATTTTACTTCTCAGATGTATTGTATTTGAGTAAAATGAACATTGTTCTTTTATTCTATGAACTACTGACAACAAATCTCCTCAAGCAATGCAAAGAAACAACAATACTAATGTTTGAAGTCAAGAAGAGTTCAGAAATCAATATTTGGTGGAATAACCAGGTTTTCAACGGGACTCAGTTCAGTGGACTCTTCATTCTTCCCAGAGCCGTGTTTATCTTAACAGTGATTTGTAAATCTTTTACAGACACTCTTAGTTTTCTGAAAAAATACTGCTGAATATCACTTTGCTTCATTCTTGCAAATCTAACATCTTGCCTCATCTCATCTTAGGACCAAAATGTTTTATTATTTTTAGCTGTCTGAGAAGACTGAGGAGGCGTGTGGTAACACCGCGAGCCTCCAGAGCTGCACGCTTCAGAGGGGATTCCTCTCACCTTCTGTGGTCAGATTCTCAGTGAACAAAGACAACACTATGGAAGTGGCTCTCGGGGCCATTTTTCTTTCAAATGGCTCTGCTCCCGTAACAAACTCAAATCAGTGAATTATTGTTTCTCATGCTTGTTTATCAGCCAGCTACTACTCCTCTGGACTTATAAATATGTCAAGAAAAATATTCATGTGATTGATTGAACCAACACATTATCAACCAAGTCACTTTCCGTATTTATGGCTTCATTGTGAAGCCGTTAATCGAAGCCACATGAGAATACGGCAAAGATCTCTTTTTTTCGGTAATCGTATACGAACCGTTTCAAAATTAGATGGAAGTTTTTCTGCGTCTGGCGCGGTCAGATAATGTTTGCTCCGCGTGTGTGTGTGTGTGTGTGTGTGGTTTTTTTTTTAAATTAAGCTTTATCAGTAAATACCATGTTTCTATAAATGAATTGTTCAGACTGCATTGACAGTTGCAGTCTGAAAATCAATGTGTTATTTTCTTTCTCAGCTGGCTCACTTTGCTATTTGCGCTGATTTATGTGCAGAGAAAGTCTTGAAAAGAGTTACGGTCCCCAGAGCAGTGCTGCTAATAGCCCATGTAAAGGGACTGGATGGTGGCTTGGAGCTGCTGCCAGCTGAGTGTGAATGAGAGGAACTTTTTTTTTTTTGTCAGCACACGTTGTGTTGTTCTAGTGGTGATAAATGGTGAAACCTGTTTGGGTGAAAAGGTTTTTAATAGAATACAAGCTAAACAAAGCTTATAAAGACGGGAGACTATTTTCAAGAATAAGCACATGTAGCGGGATGGCCTTTGACTGGACCCCCAAGGCTACCATCATGACCTCAACTACAGATTTGCTTTTGTGTTCATCTGACCTGATCACTAAACTGTTATTTCCGATGAGAGATGGAGCATCTAAAGCGTGCTGTTACAGCGATCAATGGATTATATGAAACATTTCATTTACAGCCCAGCTCCTGATGGAGGCCATGGTGTTGGGGATTTCTACTTTCTAATTGATTGTTTTATTGATAACAAGGTTCCTCCTCTGTCTGATCAGCACAGAGTTTAATCCAAACATTTTTTAGGTTTTGTGAAGTATGAAAAAAGAATGGAAATAACATATAAATATTTTCTTCCAGAATTTAGGCCTGTTTTATTGTCATCCATCCATCCATCCATCCATCCATCCATCCATCCATCCATCCATCCATCCATCCATCCATCCATCCATCCATCCATCCATCCATCCATCCATCATCCATCCATCCATCCATCCATCCATCCATCCATCCATCCATCCATCCATCCATCCATCCATCCATCCATCCATCCATTTTCCCCTACATTCTATCTATTTCTTCATCTCTTTCTCTTCTATCTATCCATTGTGACAAACAATGCTGTTATGAATTTGGAATCAACTGGACTTTGTTCATGGAAACATGTCAGAATCTTTAACAGAACATCTCCCTCTGTGCTAAAAACCAACAGGAAGCAGAAACTATTCAGCCGGTTCAGATTTCAGGCTTTCTTCTCACTCCTGGTCTGCAACTGTGATCAGAAGCAACATGGGAGAGGTTAGGTTACCTCATTAAAGGCTTAGACACATATGAATGGTTATATAAAGGGAGGGTGTGTTTGCATGTGGGTGTGAGGGGTGTCTCAGGATGGTCCGTATCTAGGCCCACTAGCACACAGATAGACCTGAGCGTCCTGCGTCGGGAGTGTTTGATGTGAGTCTTATCTGCATTTTAAAGGCCAGCTATAGGCAGCGGGAGGAGGAAGGGTTTGGCCATTATTCTGACCGCCAGCGTTTGTTTCTGAGGAAGCCGCTGAAGCAGACAGATTAGATAAGGTGACCGATTGGCCAGAGGGGGATTTAGGGCCAGTGAGTGACAGTTAACATTCACCTTGTGTTTTTATAGACCCGGTTTAAATATGCAAAGCTGTGTTTCAGGAACTAAGATACAGCAACCCAGTGAGGTCTTAAAAATAAAAAAACTTTTATTTTTTACAAATAAATACTAAATTGTTGCTTTAGTAACAATTTACTAATTGTAACTTGTTACAATTAGTAACTTTAGAATTTTAGATACATGTAGTCAGTAGTTCATAGAATAGAAGAATAATGTAAGTTTTACTCAAACTTGTCCCTATAAAAAAATAAATCAGAGAAACTGATAATTTTGCAGTGGTCTCTTCATTTTTTCCAGAGCTGTATGTGGGATTGAACGGTCCAGTCAAAGTTCAAACCAAAATTCAGTGGTGAATTTGTGGCAAAACTTTAAAAAAGTGTGGTTACAAAAATAACATTAAAAATCATTTTGTCCTATTTATATTGATGAGATTCATCTAAATAAATTATGTATTTTTGCTTTAGATGATCCTAACTGTAGTAAAAAAAGAAACGTAAATGCTTTCTTGTTTGTATCCTGAAAACCCAACCTAATGCGTCTGTCTCTCGGGTTTGCATGAAGGATGAAACATGTCTATTTTGTTCCCACAGGATGAAAACAATATGATTATTTATATCTTTGGACATCATGCTGTTTTTTTTTTCCTGATCTTTCATTTGTTGTCATGCTGTTATTATTTGGTTATTCATTGTGGCATTTTGTTTTTTGTTTTGTTTCCTTTTTAGTCGTGTCTGGTAAGTTGAAATGTCACCCGTCACCTTTTCACCACCCTGACAGAGACAGGAAGGTGTCACAACCCCCCCTCCATCCTTCACCCATCACCTCTCCACCCTTCAATCAGGAATTATGTCTCTGTTGTCACGGGCAACGGGGACAAAAGGACATTAGAGGGTAAAAAAAATAAAAAAATGCTCATCTTGTGCCTCCAAGGTAATGCTGCATCATTTCATTCTTTTAATTTTTCCCCCATTTTTAAACACCCCATCACAAAAAAAAAAAATAAATAAATAAATAAAAAATCATCACCTAAAAAATTGTGTTCATATCTTCGGTGACAGTTTTGAGATTAAATTCTTGTATATATTCAGTTTCTGTTTAACAATGACAGGTTGTTTATAGGTTTTAGTGTTAGAGGACACAGTCAGAGTACGTTTAGCCTATTAAACCAGTCACCACAGAACTGCATGGTTGGTATTTGGCTGTAACAGCACTCTTTATTTGAGCTAGAATTTGTCATTAAGATGCATGAACACAGCATTCTGGTGAGGCCTACACCACTGGAAGTTGTCAGCATGGACAGATGGCTCAAATTTATTCCCCATTTCCATGTAAATTTGATTGCTCCATAGCTTTGCACATGTAAATGAGCAGTAGGGAAGTAACTATTGTTTATATATATATATATATATATATATATATATATATATATATATATATATTTAGTACATGTATCGTGTGTATATTTTAGCTTTAAATGCCACACTCTTTAATTTGCTTTGAAATGCAGACATTGGAAACCAAGCTGTGGCAAATTTGAATACAAGCAAATTTCTATTGTCTTCCATTCAAATAATATTGAATGTGTGTGATGGTATCTTTTGTGCTGTAGTGATGTTGTAGTATGTTTGCCTAAACCGGAGTTAACCAATGGCACGACTGTCCTGCAGTGCCCCCAGCGTTTGTGGTGAGACCGAGGAATCAGGTGGTTGGAGTTGGCAGGACGGTGACATTCCAGTGCGAGGCCACTGGGAACCCACAGCCGGCCATTTTCTGGCAGAGGGAAGGCAGTCAGGTAAAAAGAGGAGCAAAGAGTTAAATATTTCAGTTTCATTTGCAATGTTGTCAGCTATTTTTTACTTTATAGCCAAAAACGTTACTGATTGTGTTGGACTTCCATTTGTTTTTCACTGTTTAGGGGATTTTAATTATAAACAAAAGCAACTATTTCACAATTTTAGTTTGTCAAATTCATGCAAAGTCACACCAAATACTTTAACGTGTCAGGCTTAGTCCACAGGTAGCCAAATATGTGGGGAAACAAATCCATTTTTATGCAGGTTGGCCTTTTTAAAAGCCAACCTGCAACTGCTAATTAAAAGCAGTTACACCAACATATCTGTCCAACCAACTGAACCTGCTGGTGCCATGTCTAATTCCTCACAGGAAGATGTGGTTGTTGTGAAGCAATCTGACCAGCAGACCTTTTGCACAGCTGATTTGTTTTTATCTGCAGGTTCATGCAGATAAAAAACTTTCTGAAACCAATTCTGTGTGGACAATACATTTCAAATGATGTGGCCCATCAGTTAGATCCGGATCCCTGTGTGAAAAAGTTAAAGTGAAGATTATCCTTTTTAAAGCACCATATGCAGGCTGGTAGGATCAATATCATGCCACATCAGTGCTGCTTTTATCCAAAGCCTCTGTCCTGGTTTCCTTACAGAACCTCTTGTTCTCCTACCAACCACCTCAACCCTCCAGCCGGTTCTCTGTATCTCAGACCGGGGATCTGACCATCACAGACGCAGAGCGCTCTGACATGGGATACTACAGCTGCCAGGCTCTGAACATCGCTGGCAGTGTCATCACCAAGGCCCTGCTTGAGGTTACTGATGGTAGGAAACCATTTCTCTTTTAGCTACTTTCTAAACTTTACTGTAAATTCAACCAAAATTATTAGTTTTACATCCATTATTCCTTTTATCAGTTGCAAATATGCAGTAGCACAACGATGTACTCTGAGCGTTATAGTTCCACACGACAGGATTTGTTGCTGCGCGCTTGCAGTGTGAAGGAAAGAAGAGATCAGCTGCACACACAGGCTGCAAAGTGAAATGTGATCGGTTTTGGTGATCGGCAACAAGAGACGGTGATAGGTGATCACCCATCATACACTTTTTCATGGAATTGTAATTGGTGGCCGATCAATCGGCACACCTCTAATGCAGACACATAGCATATAGTATTATATTATATTATTTACTACTATTCACTTACAATTTCATTTAGACATGAACAAACATCTGTTGAGTACAGAAAATTCCAACTAGAAATAATTTTTTCCCATCATTTTAGCGCCTCTTCAGAGTGGCGCCCATATGCTTATAGAGGATATCCACTTTGTGCACCACTGTAAATATGCACAGAAACTATTCAGATGGACAAATCCCAACATGAACACATAGATTTCTACCCCTTTAGCTTCAACACCACCATTTGTTTGACAGAACTTTCCCAAGTTGTACTATAACTTGGGATAATCTGAGTTGAACACACACACACATTTTGAACACACACACACACACACACAGACACACTCGTTACAAGGAGTTCCAATGCTGCTGGATCAGCTTGAACAAACAAAGCAGATTTAGTTTATTTTTCTCTGCAAATAAACTTTGTATTTTATTAAATCCTGAAGTGGAAATCCATACTTTTATTACCCAGCGGTTTTTTTTTCTTTCTTTTTTTTTTGGGCCGTTATTGAAGAAAACAAGAGACACACCACTGGACAGTTTATATACAGACCTTGTCTACACACAGCAAACCGTGGGAGAGAGTTAATAACGCAGAAAGATAAGTTAATATATTGGATCTATTGTTTGTGAGCATAACACTGTTCATCTGTAATGTTGTGGTTGTGCTCTAAAGTGTATTACAGTCCGTGTTGAGGTTTGTGAGGTTTGGTCTGGCCTGTTCCCACTGTTCCTGTCAGGAGGTTGAGACTCTCTGGTGCCTTTGCATCCAGACTCAAGACTCACTTTCTTGCTGCTCTGGCTTCATGCTGGCTAATGTCTCCTTCAGTATTCCATGCTTGGCTTGCTGCTGTCTAACGTCGGGAGACTGCGGCCGTGCGGTGAGGTTTGGGCCGGCCCCTCTAATTACGCAGCTTAGCCAATCGCCGGCGGCCGCGTGGACGAGCCGGGCCTCGGTTCCACCGGTCCCACAGATATCTGGGCAGCCACCACTCCATCTACGACACACCTAGATTCATCCCCTCATTTACCAGAATGTCCCTCCTCATTAAAGGCCTACAATGGAACGCTCTATCTCCCTGGCTGCTCTCCTGTTTCTCATTCTGCCCTGCTCTCTGGATAATAATAACAGTTATTAAAGTGAGCGGGCCACTCTGAGGCCAACACTTCTCCGCAGGCAGATCTGGTAATAACAGGTCATGCTGACAATGTTTTAGTAATTGTACCATCCCCTTTACACAAAAGTGGAGACAAAGCAGCCGCAAATTACACCGCAACACATTTCCAAAGATCTATGCACACATAAATACATCATTATATGTTGCTTTACTGTGTTTGCTATTAATTTGAGCTTCCCTCTGTGAATGTAATTTGCAAGTAAATCAGAGGAGTAGACAGCATTGGTCATCAGTAGGGCTATGAATATTAATAATGACAAGAGAGACGGAGGCAACGCTACGTGGAAACCTGATGAATTGCACACGGCACAGAGCAAATACAGTGAATGAAATTTACTGAAGTTCCTCCTTTGCGTCTCGTCTTTCATGGACTGAGGCATTCCAACTACCAAGATGTGACAGATTTTATCCTGTAGCTGCATCTGCAAGCTTTTTACTTTTTATTCAAACATCTCTCTTATTTCACACATTTAACTAAAATTGAACAATGTACAGATTAAAATATAAGTATATGTTTTTGCATCAGTGTCACTTCCCTAACCCTGGGAAGATTAGTGCCGAACTGATATTGTCAAGAAATCACTTAAATAGGACCTGACATTTTGAAGTAGATTTAAAGGCAAACACAACATTTCTGATTTAAAAACTTTAAAAAGACATCAAAAACAGATGAGAAGGTGTGAACATTAATCTGGAAAGACTTAAAAACCCATTTTCTTCTACACTTTGCTTCGTTTGCAGGGTCTGGGTCCTTGGTTATTGAAAAATGGTTGATTGCTGGAAGCGTTCAATTTTAGCTAATCATTGTTTCTCAGATTTAATGCACCGGTTCAAGCTTGCCAGAAATTGTGTGCACTGTAAATAACCATCCTCCACGGTGATATGACAAGTGCTGAGCTGAATGGCTGTTGAAATATTGGACAGCTGTCCAATATTTGCAAGCGTCTCCAACGTGGACTGAACGGTTTTGTTCATTTCCTCTTCTGTCGTTGCCAAACTACATGCAGACTGCAATTCTAAAACAGCTCAGAAAGCCAAAGTCCTCATTGACTACTTGCCCTTCTGTTTGCTGATTGGACCGGCTGGAATTTCATTGGAAGAATTCGGCTAAATGGGAGAAATTCCAGATGGAGCACTGCAGGGTGATGAGAATCAAGTGGGATTGCATAAGAAGGCAATTACCTTCCTTTCAACCAGATAAACAGAAGGAATGTCTGGTTACATCAGTCACTAACGCGGAAAATTAAGACGAACTATGAATGTCCCTTTAAAAATAAGACAAACCTTGAAAGTTAATTCATCAGTTTAGAACTGTTTAAAAACATTAAAATGTGGCAGAAATAACCAATTCTAATGAATTCAATGTTTCTAAGTGCTCAAGCAGATGGGAACCTGAGCAAAAAGAGAGACAGAACCACTTCAAGACACAAGCAAAGTCTAAATGACTCCTTCTGAAGCATTTGGTAACGTCCTGGATGACACCAGTGAATTATGAATAATTCTGTTGGGAAGAATGGACCTAAATTCCTCCATGGTGATGTAAAAGACTCATTGCCTGTTACTGTAAGCACTTGATGGCAGTTGTTGCTGCCAAGGGTGGCATAACCAGCTATTATGTTTAAGGGGCGATTACGTTTTCACATAAGGCCTGAATGGTTTGAATATATATATATTTTTTTCCCCCTGGTTAAAGTCATCAGTAAGAAGCAACATCTTTTATTGCTTCTTACTATGTACTGAGGTGATCTGATTAAAATTTGGTTGAGGATTGAATCGTAACAAGCAGGCCAAAAGATCAGTAGACATAGACATTTTATTTATTTTTTTTACATCAACCTACCTACTTCCTTTAATTCACATAATTTCTGTGCCCATAAATCATGTAAGCAAGCTGGGAAGAGTTTCAGCATCGTTGCTTTAATTCATTTATGTGTTCTGATGAGTTTTTAAGCTTTTATTTTTTATTATTCTTTGTTGTGACCCAGGGGAGGGGGCTTACGCTCTGATGCATTCCGCTAGGCTCCTGATCGAAAAAGAAACTAAGCTTTTCATTTGAATTCTCAGCAATTATTTGCCCAACATCAACGCCTGCTGCTGAATGATAAAAAAACAACAACAACTAAACACAAAAATTGCATCCAGTTCTTAAAAATTGAACTTAATTCCTTTCCTACGATCCCCACTGTTTTCCTATTTTCGTGTCGCTCCTCTCTGTTTGTTCAGATCCCACTCTCCTCTACTTTTTGTGTTTGCTTTTCCCCCCAGCTGGATATAATTGACTGAATCCCAGTTTCCTTTCACCTGGCCACACCACATTAGCAGCTTCCACGGCTTCTCGTAATTGCCCGTTTTCCTTCCTCTCTTCCCCCAGTTGTGTCAGACCGCCCGCCACCAGTTATACGACAGGGGCCCACCAATCAAACGGTGGCTGTGGACGGAACCGTGGTCCTGAGCTGTGTGACATCTGGTAACCCTACACCCACCATCCTGTGGAGGAAGGACGGCGTTTTAGTGTCCACACATGACTCCAGAGTCAAACAGCTGGACACGGGGGCACTACAAATACGATACGCAAAGGTAAGGCAGCTGGTTCAAGATGACAATTGGGATTTTATGTGCGTCTGAAGTGGAAGAAAAATGATACCTTGTTTTCCAAAATTCTATGCAGCGTTCCCATTCCCATTCCCTGAGCCATCACTTTAAAGTCCGAAACCAGTTTTAATACGTTCAAAAAACAAAGAAAACTCTGGTTATGTCAAAACAGAACTGTTTCCATTTTTTATGTTTTTATGTTTGTAGATGTTGCCAACGTTATGTTGTGCTATATTAACTGATTATCGCCTCAATTTTTTAGAGGTACTTTTTAAAAGCTCATCTAGGGACAAATGCTGCGAATTAGCTGTTGATATTGCACTATGACACAAACACCAGGACACAACATAGTTCAGTTTGCCTATGTCCATGTGTGTCTGTCCCTATCAAATAAACTTAAAAATAAAAAGAAATAAATTGAACCAGTTTTTGTGGAACCCTGTTAATCTTTTGGTGTATGTCATTATCTGCTGTGCAGTGATAGATTTGCCGATTGTCTGTTGCTCAATACCTTTACATGAGTTAAAATGAAAGGAGATGATTTGTCAACACGAGCTATCAAGCCTTGCAACAGTTTTATAGTGTTTCACAAAAAGAGCTAGAATGTTCTAGAACATGTTGGGTTCTTGGGCCTCTGAATGGAGGTGTTATGGAAACCAAATGTGTCATGTGGAAGCTTACATTAGCATCTGGAAAGACATCTGCAGCGTCGAGATGCTAGTTTAGGTTTGAAGAGTTTTGCAAACTCCTTTCAGCACAACTTGAACACAACAATATTCTTTTCCAGCGTTCCAGCAGATCATTTTTGAAGCAAAAATGGACCTCCACCGGGCCCAGAAGCAGCTTTGTTTATTTGAAGACTTTGCTTGTCCTTCAGGTTTATGAGCGTACCAGAAACACGCAACAAAGGTTCCAGCTTGAGAGAAACAAATGCAACTAATTGCGCTAAAAAATGTATCGTGTTAAAAGACTATTAATTAAAATGAACACATCCCGAGTCCAAGTTCCAAAATGAGACTTTTTCCTCTTGGAGTATAAGACATAACTTTACCCTCACTTTGTTTTTCTATTAGATTCCAAGTTCCATTCCAGGAGGTTTCGGAGTTGTCCATGCTCTCCCCATAATGAGCTTGGCAAACCCCTGCTGGTTGGTAAATAAAGCATGTGTTTCTGCCAGCACCCGGCTCTCAGTGGACTGTCAGTCAGTTGTCGAGGGTTTGAAACGGAGCCTGTGAAGTTGAACACCGTGCAGCTCCTGTCAGTCAGTCAGTAGCAGCAGCAGCGGGTTCGGTGTGTGTCATCTTGTGTGTGTCCGTATGCTCAGGCTCCACGGCAGAACCCGTGACGCCGAGCGCTCCCGGGCAGAGAGACAGACATATGGGGGGAGGGTTGCCGACGTTTCCTCGAGATTGAGGCGTCGGCAGGTCAGGGTTCACGTCAGTTTGCCGTGTTCTGATGAATGCTGGCGTGTCTCGCTGTGACAAGATTGCGCCGTGATTGGGACGCCGTCGCGAGGCAGGCAGGAGGCGAAGTGTCTGAGCTGAGGCAGAGGAAACACTTCACATTAATGAACTTGTCATATCTCCAAGACAACGTTTTAACGAAGATGTTTCTGACACGTTGGGGTAATTTATTTTCTTAATGTGGTTTTGTAAGTGTTATTGTGATCAAATTGCAATTCTTCCTGGCAAACCAAAAAATACACAGCCAGGAGACATGATTTTATATTATTCAAACAATTTATCTCTGTTCTCCACAGTTTAGTTTTGCTCAGCACAGTAGCCTTTAGCAGATTATAAATCACAGACAAAGCAGAGCAGACTTATTTGTCTTAGAGGATTTCCCTACAGTTAACAGAGTTCTTGAAAATGCATCAGTGTGAAAACAGTGTTTTCATTTTGGTTAATAATGTCTGCTTTTGTTTGCCTTATTAGATTTCTAGCAGAATAGATATACTAGTACATTAGCAATAGCACATTTAGAAACCGATTCAGGGAAAGACCACAACCACCAAATCAAACATGAACCGGAAATCACTGGAACTCCAAGACAACTCCAATCAATCAGCCATCAATCTAATGGAGACGAGCCAAATCCCTTTGAAAGAAAAGCTTATGGTCAGATGAGAAAAAGATCGAGCCATAAGCATGTTTGTGGGTTTCCAGGCAAAAACCTGGAAACCTACAGTTTCCAGGTTAGCACAAATCATACTTTTTTAGGGGGTTAAAAGATTGAAATTCTGTCGATATTGAGACAGAAATGAAAAAGTTGAATATGGGCAAAAAACAAAATCGGATCTGGGTCGTGTTCACCTGCTTTGGCACTGGAAAACAGCCGACCACAAAGCTTCTGGAGTCACCTTCCCAGATCAAGTATTGAAAATGCGTGGAGTACGCTTAAAATGTGGGTTTGACGAAAGAAATCTGCAATTTAAATGAACACAACCAATTTGATTGGTCGCATATCAATCCAGAACTTGGCCACGAGCTTTTGGCTCTGAGGGAATTAAATTATCATTGAAAATTTATATCAAGAACTTTATCACCAAGTGAAACACATTGATTTACACTCGGATGAAAGATCGAAAGCTTTTGACCTGTCCAGCTGCTTCTCTTCCTTTTCTGTTAAATAATGATTTTCTGCTAACAGGTAATGAAGATATTTACAATTAGACTGTTACATCAGACCAATAATATATATTATCTGATTTACTGTGGAGCCCAAAAAAAAACACATTGAATTTAAACTTGTTCTGCAGATTCCTATTTTCAAACTATATTATGAAAACACATGCCAAATTATAAATCAACAGATATTAGGAAAATTCAAACTGAATCTGTAGTTTTCAATTACAATGTAAATAAACTTTCTTCCTAATACTTTCATGGTGCACATTAGTTCAGACAGGTTCGGCTTTTAGGCTTAACTTCTAACCATCCGTGTGATCAGAGTAAAACCACAGCACTAATTGTCGCCACATCAGTTGTTCAGAGCAGCAGTTGGTTTTAGTTCTTAGAACAAAGTGGTGTGACGGAGAAAAAGCCTCTCATTAGTATGTAATTCTTTTCCATTTGACTAAGTGTTTCATTGTTTGACCAGTCCAGCTGCTTTCAAACAGTTTTGTCTTAAAAGAGACGACACTGAGATCATCAGGCAGGCAGCTGCCTGTGGCAGGTTTTATATTTATAAGCAAAACGGTGAAAGTTGGTGTGAAGAGGGTAGCGACGGTTGGACTCGTTTAAAAAATTTGCATTTAACCAAATATCCCTCCTCCTCTTCTCTTCCAGCTTGGTGACACCGGTACCTACACCTGCATCGCCTCCACTCCCAGTGGAGAGGCTTCATGGAAAGCCTATTTGGAAGTTCAAGGTAAATAAAATCATGACAGTGAGAAAATCTGTTGTGTTATAAAATCATTTGAAGTTACGTAAACGCTTCCTTTCATTTCTGCTCTGCCCTCAGAATTTGGATCCCCCGTCCAGCCAAACAGACCGACTGACCCAAACCTGATCCCCAGCGCTCCGTCAAAACCCGAAGTCACAGACGTTTCCCGGACCTCCATCACCTTATCCTGGAAACCCAACCTCAATTCTGGAGCCACACCCACTTCCTACATCATAGAGGCCTTCAGGTGAAGATCATCGGCCACTTTACGCACAAACCGATGTCTGTGAGATTCTTGTTCGATTGAATGACTTCCCTTGTGTGTTGACAGCCATGCATCTGGCAGCAGCTGGCAGACCTTGGCAGAGCATGTGAAAACTGAGTCGTTTGTGCTAAAGGGCCTGAAGCCCAGCGCAGTCTACCTCTTCCTAGTGCGAGCGGCCAATGCCTACGGACTCAGTGATCCCAGTTCCATCTCGGACGCAGTGAAAACGCAAGGCGAGAACTTCCTTCTTCCTACGCAGAATCACAATTGGGTCTGTTTGTCAAAATTTGTGTGCACAAACAAGGAATTTGACTTTGATTGTACGCCGTGTAGATATGGAGAATAATAATATAAAATCCGGATTTCCACCAGAACACTTGCTAAGCCCGGCAGTAGGGTCGCTATTTAACCAGCAGTCATCCAGTGGCCCACCATGTTCTTGAGTTTAAAAAATGTTTAGGTTCTGTATCAGCATGGATTCGGTGTCTTGGGAGACCAAGAAACAATCATTCTTGAAACTGGGTTCAATAGATTTCAGAATGCCAGTCTCACGTTTCCATATGGCCATTGCAGCGGCTATTTTTAAACGATGACGTCGAAGCTCCATTTCTCTTAAACATTTTATTTTTTTTTTTGTCTTATTCTCTGGCAGTTTTGCAGTGCCACCGATTGGCCCAGCAAATCCACTGCATCACTTTTTGTAGTGCCGCATCCTGTCTCGTGGATGTACAATTTTTCAAAATCGTCTACAAAATTATACCGGGCCCAACTGTGTACAAGATTGTGCTGTACTCTGTCTGTAAATCTGATCATAACTTTCAGCTAATTCGACTTCTGTGCTTTTCCCACACAGACATCCCTCCCACCAGCCAGGGCGTGGACCATCGACAGATCCAAAGAGAACTTGCAGATGTGGTCATCCACCTTCACAACCCCACCATCCTCTCGTCGTCCTCCGTCAGGGTGCAGTGGACGGTGAGTGGCGGCTTTCCGCAGTAAAACTTTCACCAGCATCTGTTTTTTTCCTTGAACATTTGCAACCAGAATGGATTTGACATCTGGTCTCCAAAGGCTCCCAGGTGATCCTGATATACTCACTTTGTCAAGCAGCTTAGCTGAGCTAATCATACAAGTCCCCCCTTGCAGAAGACAAACTGCAGAAAGCATTTTGCAAAAGATCCCAGTGTTCATCTAGCATCCGCCTGAAGAAGAATCTGCAGCATTTTCTTTTCTCTCACTCCAGCTACACCAAACCTCCGAGTTCAGTCAGTCGCCTTATAGCTGAGAGCAGCAGTGGTGTAGCGTGCCAGTCCGTGCCCGGTCAGATTGGAAACATTCGACTGTTAAAACAATACGACTAAGAGGGAAGAGATGGCAGGCCCATGCCTTTAGGTGGAAATGGCTCCCAGATGTGGAACCGGATAGGCAGTGAACTACAGCTGGGAGCTTATGGTGGCGTTTCTGCTGTGCTACAAAACTGAATATGAGGTACTAATGGGCTTCTGTTCCCGATCACACGCACAATATCACAAAACCTCCCCAGAGTAGACATTAACCTGCTGGATGAGTTGCTTAATGGTCAAAACGTTCTTCTCTGTTGACAAAAAAAGTTCACCCCCGCTTCCCTCCGGTCGCAGGTGTTATGAAGTGCCACCGTGAGTGATGAACGCCGCTGAGGAAAACGTGAAAATGACTCTGACATGTCGAGACTGATTTAAAACATCACTACCTCTGGTTACTTTGTCTCTCTGGAATGTTCCAGAGAAACACATGTCACGAGGAGGCCTGACGTTGTCGTTAAGTGACACCATTTCCCTTTGCTTTGCGGTGATACATTTACTCCCATTGGGCAATTTCTTGGTTTTTACATTTTCCTTTGCCACAGTTTTCCGCCTAATAAAAACCACCTTAGCTGGCTGCATATATATATATATATATATTATATATATATATATATATATATATATATATATATATATATATATATATATATATTTCTTACAGGAGAGATAAAGAAATCAGTAAAATCTTTACAAGCTTCCTTTCCAAAGAGACCCCTAGGGATATCATCGCTCCAGTTAGTGGTTTGTTTTCATAAATTCTGCTGCGAAGATTTATTACACATTGATTACAGTAACAAATTTTGGCCTAATTTTGCTTTTATGCTTTTTTATGCTACGCCGGATGCGGCTGAATATTTTGCAGCGTCGACACCTCGTGTTTCCTGGACGGATTTTCCCCCAATGTTTGACTTCGGCAGGCATTAGAGAGCAGGACAGGATGAGACACGCAGCTCCGAGAGTCTGGGCTCGATTTAACCAGCTCCAGACTTGAAGGAACCTTTGGCCAATGACCTCATTGTGCGGTTTGCACAAATCACTGCTGCTCCAAATGGTGCATAGACACAGTCAAAAAGAGGAATCTGGATAAACAGATGGGTGATGTGATGAATTAGTATCCCAGTTCATCCTCTGCCTGGTCTATCGTTGCACAGATTCCTATTTATTCCGCGACACCATTTTTTAATTCTATTGCTAAACTTTCCCACAATTTGCAGCACTAGAACAACAAAGTATTTTGTGGAGCTTTTATGTGACAGACGAGCAAAAGTTATGCGTTCATGTTAAGTGGAACAGAAGGTTTTCGTTTTTATTTATTTTTTATATTGCAAATGGAGGGATAGGGTTATGGTTAGCCTGTAACGCTTGGGTGTTCATATGGATTCAGCAGGAGTCAAAAGTCATTGACTCATATGGGTTGGAGAATTTCATGCTGGAATCAAAGCTGCAGGTGGAAAATTTTAATAATTTTAGAAATGAGCCACAAAAACATTTTTTCCTTTACCACAGTGTGTATTGACTGAGATATTGTAACTTCAACACATACAGGAAGATGATTCAAGCTCTAAACAGTAACTGCTCTAAACCATCCACAGTAACAAATAACAGATGAAAAATAAACAAATTTACTCTAAGATTTTTGTATGACTTATTTTCCAAAACCTAATAACAAGCTCAGTCAATATGCAGGCCATGTGATGAATTGATCTTATTCAGTGCAGGATTTAACATGATGCTAATATTAAATTTGGGTCGATAAAAATATCTGATGTTAATCAGATATTTATGAATATTTTGCAGCTTTACAAGCTTCCCTTCCAAAGAGACCCTTAGGGATATACTGTCTGTCACATGACCAACCAGAAACAAACTAGGTGGAAATAAATATCGTTGGACCAATATGTTAAAAAAAGAGATGGACACCTGGTTGACATAATAAACGCCTAAATCCCAAAACGCCTGATTTCATTGTGCAAAGTTTCAAATGAATGCAGGTCAAAACATTTCAGGTTTTTATTCACGAGAAATATAGAAACCATGTATCACTTTTCCTTCTGCCTCACAATAATGCACTGCTTTGTGCTGGTCCACTATATAAGGTTCACAATTTGGCAAAAATCAACTTGTGCAAACAACTCCATCTTGGTTTTCTTCATTCAGGTGGAGCAGCAGTCTCAGTACGTCCAGGGCTACAAGGTGATGTACAGGCCAGAGGGCCAGCAGAGGAGCGAATGGGCCGTGTTTGAGGTCCGGACCCCCGGAGAGGACAGCGCTGTCGTGACACAGCTGCGGAAGGGCGTCACGTACGAATTCAAAGTCCGCCCCTTCTTCAACGAGTTCCAGGGAACAGACAGCGACGTTAAAGTTGGCAAGACCCTGGACGAAGGTGGGGGGAATGTCTTCATGCCAATGTTTTAGTGTTTTTTTCCCTCTGTCTACACCGTTTCATACGAACAGATTGCATGTTTGAAAGCATATCGCATCTGTTCAGGCAGGCAGTGAGTGGTGGCAGCTCCCCCCGATAACCCCCACCGACACCCCTTCATGCATGCATGTGTTGTACTAATTTTTCATTGGGTGTGGTTGTAGCAGTCTCTTGAGGTTTTGGTTAAAACCCAACTGCAAATTTTCATATGTCGCTAACATTTCAAGAGAGTGCGGAAGTGTTTACTAGAACGTGTGTGTTTGTTGCATGAGTGGGCATGTTTTGATCTTTTTCTGCTGTTTCAGTCTTTGTTCTGGCTTTTGTTGATAATTGTGTTTGGACCTCTAAGCCTCATTTATTTTTCTCCTCATAAGCAGGAAAAAAAAAAAGCTAGCTCTGTATTTTCAGTTTAATATTTTGTTTAACCATAAATTTGATTCATACACCACAATTTAGTTCATCACCATCGTCATCACCCCCTGTTTGTTTGGAGTGAATATTTCTGGGCACACGTTTTTAGGTAAAGCATTGTAATTTTTCTGATTAGTCATTTGTTCTCACATCTGCCTTGGTCTCACTCGGAAGTAAATCCCAAAAACTGAATAGCACGTGCGAGTCGGTGCATTCAAAAGAATTATTTACAAATGTTATTTTTTTTCTTCTTTTGTGTTTCCCCAAAAGCCCCCAGCGCGCCCCCTCGCAAGGTAACTGTGACGGAGAGCGGGAGCAACGGGACTGCTGTTGTCGTATCCTGGCAACCCCCTCCGGAAGAGGAGCAGAACGGGGTGGTGCAGGAGTACAAGGTAACACACACACACAACACACACATTCACTCTCAAATACAGCAAGCATCTCTCAGGTCTGAGCAAATGGGACTTGTTCTGCTGAAACATAATAGAGATGCAGACATGGCTGCAGACAGAGCAGACAAAAGAGAAAGGTAATGTAATTCCTGCTGGAGGTGTACCTTTGTGCTCCCATCAGGGCCTCTTCCCCTCTGTGTGCTGAAAGAGTTGAAAAAAGGTACGAAATTAAACTCTGGGGAGTGGATGGGAATGCTTTGGAAACAGTGCCATCTGCTGGAGGTTGGAGAATTTTACAGTTTGTTGAGATTCAAATGGTGGAATTTAGGAAAAATCTGTCATTTCCATCACAGTGACGATGTTTTATCTGTTCACACTGAGCTCCCCTTCAGGAGACACGTTTGATCCGGTTTTTATTTGTTTTTGTGGGAGTACAAGGAGTGCAGGGATGTGGAGTAGCTATTATTATTTTTCAAAATTAAAAGCAAATCCTTTAGGAGCAAAATGGTAAAAATAAACTCAGTAACTCTGATCGACATTTAAATGTTCAAAAATGCAACAAAATCAATACCTAAAATTAAAATGCGCACAAAAATAAATTTAAAAAATGCACATTTGTCTAAAATAAGCAACGCTATATACTAGTTATTCTTCTGGCTTTGTTTCGGTTTGATTCCAGACACAGAAGTGAAGGGTAACTCTTTTTTTTTTTTTTTTTTTTTTTGTGGCCACTTACTAAAATTTAAATCCATCAATGTCTGCGCTTTTCTCTTCATCTGTTTCTGATTGCTTTATTTAGGCCAGACACATTTCTATTTAGAGAAACAAGGAAATTCAAAGTTTTTTTTACTCGATAAAAACATAATACAACAAACCAGTTATGAAGCAGCAACAAACATTACATTTTGTCAAATGTACATCAGTTATCCTACTGTAAACCGGTGGGTTTTCAGCCTTGATTTCATAGAACTCAGTGTTTCAGCTGTTTTGCAGTTTTCTGGAAGTTTGTTCCAGATTTGTGGTGCGTAGAAGCTGAATGCTGCTTCTCCATGTTTGGTTCTGGTTCTGTTGATGCAGAGCAGAACCAAAACCAGTAGACCTGAGAGGTCAAGAAGATTGATGCAATTTATAATAATAATATCAGTATTGTGATATTGCACCGCTTTTTTCAGAGAATTGAACATAAATAGCATAAAAGTGTAAAAGAAGAAAAACAAAGCAATAACATAAGTGAATACAAAACAAAAAACATGCAGTTAGTAAATATTTAAGAAAATGGCCACTAAACTCTACCACTATGATATGAACATACAGGACATTTAACATTTTTGATATTTTAATTCAAAGTTATAACATATGACATCAGTTTAACAACTCGGGGAACTCGTACATTATGCAGTGGAACTCCTTTTTTTATTGGAAAACCCTTTTGGGTCCCCAGGCACACACGGGAACAAACAGTTCAGTTTAATTTTCCAGGTAATTTTTTTTTCTTAACAACTTTGGAGTAATTTCATGCTTTTTAAATCCAGCTCCATCCCCCTCTCACACATACGCATACACGCACACACACCCACCTTCTGCTCCCCACTGCCCATTGCCACTCTCAGACAGAAAGTGCCGAGCCTCTGTACTTCCATTACACACACATGCACATGAATATATATTTATATTTATAAAAAGCACACTGAAAGTCGTGAGAATATTAGCACAGTAAATAAAGCAGAATGTGAGTTTCAGGTCTAATATTGAGGTAAATGTCTTCTACTTATGAGCAGCAGCTCTTAACTCTGCTGAAGCTGGGTTATGATTACTGGGCCCCATTTCTTGCCTTACTGGTCTAATCCCATACCGACTGTGTGCCAACATGGTGGCAACATTTCAATCAAAAGCTCATAACGGTGCGTTCGTTTGAATTAATCCTCGCCTCTGTGACGGCAGATCTGGTGTTTGGGGAATGAGAGCAAGTATCACATCAACCGGACGGTTGACGGGTCAACGCTTTCCGTGGTCATCCCCAGTCTGACCCCTGGGATCCGCTACAGCGTCGAGGTCGCAGCCAGCACCAGCGCCGGTCCCGGGGTCAAGAGTGAAAGCACTTTCTTTCAGTTTGGTGAGTAGTGGACGTAGACACACCTTTTTCTGTCTGCTTTCTCATAAATTACATTGTGAAAACTAGAAAACTGCATAAAAGTCAGATATTTGTGGAAACAGGTGGGAGTTATCTCCAACTTTCCAACTGTGCCGTTTTAAAATTCACCGTCTCAAAAAATGTTCATATCACGTCAGACCGATAAAGAAGGATGTTTTTTGCTCAAAGGTCAGGCTACATTTCTAGCACATGTCTAATATTTGTCTGGATCTGGAATGAATTACTTGTGACAATCCTCTCAAGGCTGTTGTTTTCCCTTTTGCACCTTTCTCTAACCAGTTTTCTTCCTTCCACTAAATTTCCTGTGCTTGAAAACAGAACTCTAAACAATCAGCTTCTTTAGTAATGGTTGAAATCTGTAAAAAAAAGAATTAATTGAAGTTGGCAAAATAAAATTTTGATTTTTTTTAGAGGTTAAGTAAGTCAAACATGAAATATGAAGCTTAAAAAATGTTGTTGGACATATAATGGTCCTTAAAAATCTTTAAAATCTTACACTTAGCTGACTGACACTGGTGGATTTTCTCACAGTTATCCAAAAGGAAGTCAAAATTTGACCTCAAGTGTTTTATTTGTGTATCTACAGTTACCTGAGATTCCTTAGACGTGAAACAAGCCCAATCACTTGACACGTAATTATAGCATTAGCCCATCCATTTTAAATGAAGAGCTTTCAGTATCATGACCTTATGCCAGCTAAACAGAGATCTCTGTAACTCCCTTTCGTGTAGGAGATTGTTGTGAGACATGCTCAGGCCTCTGCCCTCTTTCCTTTTCAAGCTTAGTGCAGATGCTTGAAGACGGTAATTTGGGTGAGTTCTCTCACACAAACGCCATCAAACGTGCCATGGAGACATTTGAGTGACAACAAGGTGGCTCCGCAGTTTTTTTTAAGTGTTTTTAGCTAATTAGCTGAGGGTCACATTGGTACGCTCAGCACCCTCAGCAAAGAAGCTGGCAGCCGCGCCCTTCTCCATCCTGCTTTTAACGATGTTTTCGCCTCTGCTTGGCTTCAAACAGCAAACATCACCAATATAAACTTCTTTAAGTGTCCCTTTTGGCCAGATAGACCAAACATTTTCAGGAAATTTTGTTATGTTTGAGTTGCATAGCTAGCATGCTAATAAGTAAGATGAGGAAAAATGAAAGCACTGACATTACAATTTACTTCTTCTCAGCCTCAAACAGCAAAGACAACAATGGATCAACATTTTTGTCCAAATCCAAATTGCCCAAACATTTTTGGGTAGTTTGGCCACTGTTTATTTTTGAGCCACTTAGTTAACTTGCTAATGAGTAAGACTGGGGGAAAAACAGCACCATAAAGCAGCAAGCGAAAGATGGAAGAACCTGGAGAGGAAAAATGGCTCCATCTGGTTTTAAATGTGTGATTGAGTGGGCCAGGATGGGAATGAAGAAGCATTCCCTGTGACGGATACAATTTATCTCACTTGAAGACTTCCTGTGGTTATTGTTGCCATGTACCAACACCGAAGTGGAACAATGCGCCTCGGGGACCAGCGCTTCACCCAAACGCATTTGTCACACTCTCAGGCTTGCACGCGTCATCCTAAGCCCAGATACCTGTACAATCCCTCGTGGGCTGCTTAGTCACATCGGCACGCTCGGCTCCGTCAAACACAGACACAAATAGAGAAGCCAGGCAGCCAAAAAGAGACATAGACTCAGCAGCTGAGACAAATGAAGAGACAGTACGGTAAAGGCAATGCGCTGGTTTTTTGTTGGGCTTTTATCAAACTTTCAAAAGAACGGATACTGAGTAAAAGACTTCACTCTGAAAAACAAAAGAATTAAGTAACGAGCATAAAAAAAAAGGAAAATCAAAATGCCAGAGGGTGGGGCCAGTCAGAGAAGTCTTTCATGTAACAGACATGGGGGAGAAGCAGAGACAGATGAGAAAAACAGATCCAGAAGAAGCAGGTTGCAGCGAGCAGCTGTGCAGACGGCTTCACTGCAGCACGTTTCACAGCTTCCAGGCATTCGACGCCTCAGTTTTTCACAGTTGTGCCTCTGTTTGCTAATTATTGTGGTGTCTGTATTTGAGGGTGATCTTTCTGGATTTGTTTATCTGTTTAGCAAATCACCGGTGCTTGGTGTAAATGATGCCTCGTGGTGTTTTTCTGACTGGTTCCATCATCAGGCTCTGCTCACCTGCCACTGTTGACTGGGATTTGCAGCACAAGCCAGATTTACACAAAGTCAAATCTTGCGAGTGAGAGGGGATCCTTCAGATTCCTTTTGAAAAATGTAGAACTATAAATTAAACAATGTCTTATCTTACAAAGTAGCATCTTTTAATAACGATAACCATGAATACAAATTCAAATTCCATGTGTATTTCAGAGTAGAGAGCTACAGTCTGTGTTGCTAATGCTGGGTTAGGAGTTTGAAGCCAATAACATTTTTCCTGAGTTTAGAATGTAAAACAGTGGCTTTATTTGTTTTGCTGCTACCTATTATAGCACCAAACAATGTTCCCTCCAGTATATTATAGGCCTGGCGGCCCGCCATGCTTTACGAGCCCCCCGCCAGGCTAAGCCTTTCTTGTTTATGTATTTAGGAAGATAATAATGAATAAAAAAAACGCTGTTTTTTATTTTAAAGCCGAATTACAAGCATCTCTGTTGCTCTGAGCGTTTCACTGGCAGAGCAGATTGATTTCTAAAAGATATGTTAATAGAAGATATGTTTATAGTTTATGTATTTAAAGCCGGACCAATCAAAAAAGCCTGGATGTCTTAGGTTTCCAGCCCGGCTCCTTTGCGCCTCTTTTCACTCAAACTGACCTGTATACAGCCTGTGAGAAATTCTGATTCTTTCGAAAGTTTTTGATCAAGATAGAGGTGAGAATGATTTATATTTGTGGACAAAGCTTTTTGTGCGTCTTTTCCATCTGAACACGCTGCGCGGCGCCCAGCTCTGACTGCGCTGATAAAGTTTATGTCTGTGGTCCTGGTTGGTCGGAGTGTTAGTGGTTAACGAACCAGAGCTAACCTCATCATGCAGGTTCGGCCCGGTGAGGAGCTTTCGCACTCGCCTTGCAGTCACACATCACGCTGATTTTATATTATTTTATTATTATTTTTACGGTTATGAAGCATCAAACCATATCGAATGCTTTGCCCACTTGTTCAGTCAGTTAATGAGCGCAGCCGTGTCTTAAACTGGACCAATCAAAACAGTTTCTGTGTCCGTTGTTAGAAGCTCAACAGACATGAAATGGAAGCATTAGCAGCAACTCTTGGCATCCCGACCACCAGGCTTAGCAAGATTTCTGGGGGAAACCCTGCCAAATATTATTTCTCTGATTTATATTCCGCAACCCCAGACATTAACAAAATAGTCATAAGATATAAACCTGCATATGTACAGCCATATTGAATACGACACTTGGGACTGGTCAGGGAGTCCAACTTTCCATGTCAGAATAAAATTACTGCACTAGAAGTTGGTAAACAACAACAAATTTACATCATTCACTAAGGTAGTATAATTGTACGCTATTGTTTATTTACTTATTTATTTTGAACATGATAGAAGTATAAAATTACAGATTACATATCCAGATCAGAACTACCTCTCACCCATATTTCTATATCTTGTGAAAATGACCTTCTTATATTTTCTTTTTATTTGTCTTACAATTTGACAGTTTTAACTCCTCAGTTAACTTGTTCCATAATTTTACATCATAAATTGAAATACAAAAGCTTTTTCTTGTTGTGCATAAACTACTAATCTTTAAGTTTGAGGACGTTTAAGTGATATCACTCTTCTCTTTCAAAACAACATGCTCTGTATGAGCTCAGGTAGAAGTTTAGTCGATGCCTTAAACATAATTTAAACAACTTTAAATTCCACCAAATCTTCAAATTTAAGAGTTCTAGATTTTTCCTTTAGCATAAATCTCTTTTCATGTTTACCATAAAAACCATTCATATGCTGATCAAACGGACCCTCTGAAACATCCTGCTCACGTCTGCCCCGTTTCCAGATTCCTCTGGGCGGATGACCGAGACTGTGAACCAGGAGAACCCGCTCTCCCAGCAGATCTCTGATGTGGTCAAGCAGCCTGCCTTTATCGCAGGAATTGGAGCAGCATGTTGGATCATCCTCATGGTCTTCAGCATCTGGTTATACCGGCACCGAAAGAAGAGGAACGGCCTCTCCAGCAGCTATGCAGGCATACGCAAAGGTAGGCACACGCTTAAACTTTAAGGCTGGGGACTAGAAAATGTTGGTGATAAATCATTGTTTCCATTTAATCGTTTACCAGTATATTGTTTTCATCCTCAACGTTGCCAACTTCGCCTGTCTTCTGTCACAAAAAGATGTATTTGTAGTCGGCGCAGAGCAGTAGGCTCTCTTTAGGAGGCAGCGTCAGCACCCACTGAGAGTACAGCATGAAGACGTGTTTTCATGAGTCAGTCTGTGAGAGTGTGAAGTGTGTTTTCAGTCAAGCACATTTTCAGACCCAAAAACTCCCTTTTCTTTTTTTCCTGTCTGCAACTCCCATCTGACTGTGTTGGGAAAATAGTGAATGTTTGTGCTCTAATCTCTGTTTATCAAGGACATCCTGACATTTTCACATGCTTTCAGCTTCCCCGTCCTCTAAGAGACGGGCTTTCGGATAAGGAGGTGGACATGTTGCAAGAGATTTATGCTACTTATCTCTCTGGAAGATACACAAGCGGCTCTGTCTTTTCTCCATCTAGTTGTTACCTGATTTAAGTCAAAGTGACAGAGTTCATGACGCGCCTGGCCTCGACTCACGGCAGCTCAAGCAGAAAGACAGTCATTAGCCGTTCTATCTTAGTCTCAATTATGTGTGAGCTAGCTTAATGTGTTGCCTCGGGCTGTGCAGCTGCTTGCTACTGTTAGCGCTGCCTTGTTCAACCTCAGGTTTAGTGCCGAATGCCAAGGCGAGAGGAGATCCACCTTTCAACCTTGACGCACAAGCAATAGACTGATCCCAGACTGCCACGCAGAAAACCACGTCTTCAACCTGCTGCTTCCACGGTTGACTGAAAATGTCAATTGAGATCCGTTTCGGTGAAGATTTCAAAAACTTTCATTCACACGTACAGACACTTGTGTGGGCTGTAGCAGTTAGAACCGCCGTGTTTTTACTCATGTCTGTGATTACAGCGTGCAGTAATGACCTGCGGTCAGGCATGAAAGGCGAATGGCGTGCGGAATGAGGTTCCCCTTTGTCTGTCTGCGATTCTATATGTTGATGTTTACTCGAATAAAGAAAGAAATAGCTCTTCAGGGAACGGTAGGTAGGCACGCCGTCCTTCTTGTCATCCCCCGCCCTCCGTGTCTCCTCGTGCACCCAGACCACAAAAGGCCACAGTCTTTGTTAGAACGGGTAACCAAGAATGCTCTCAAAGAGTATAATTGCAACCACATGAATCAACAACGTGCAGTTAGGGTGCAAAAAGTTGAACTGGGAAGTGCACGCATGTGGGAGTGGTGGTACTTGTGACACATTAAGCGTCGATTAAACTAGTCATGGAAAAAAAAATGATTATTTTGATTTTTTTTTTTTTCTTGAATGCACCAATTACAAATTTGTGGCTGATTTCTGATCTGTTTTTTTGTTAAGCTTTGACCTACAGCTACACAAATATGAAAGGATCAGAACAGCATTTCCTTTTTTTTTCGCTCTCTGTCCTTGAATAAACATAAATTATTTATATTAGGAGAAAAAAAAACAATATCTCTCTCACAATGAGAGACAGGAGCCTATGAAAGACCCCAAAACTAACAAATCTAGTCATACCTCACATGAAGGTTCATCGAACCTTGAGATAAACATCTTGTGATGGGCCAGTCCAGGTTGACAATGGACACTTGATTTATGTATTTCAGTCATGTTTGCATTTGTCGCAGACTGTTTTGGGTAGCCGGTGTCTCCTCTTCAAAGGCATTCATCAGAGAGATAAAAGCCACATGACAGCCGATATCTTCAGGACAGATTCCAACACAAGATTATTGCATTTAGAGGAAGTTTGTTGGCACAAGTAATCGATGAAGTCATTATTTAAGAATAAAAACAACCTCAGAGAGCCACTGCACCTCTTGAATTATTTTGGACAAAACTAGAGTAGTTAATGTTGCTACAATTTGCTGTATGGATTGCATCAACTTCAACCCTCACAGCTTTACTCTTTGCTTTTTGCTTAAATCTGGAGGACAACAGTTGTCCTCCAGATTTTTAGTATGAGATTTGGTGTGAGATTCTTACTTCAGCACTTAGATAATGTTTTTCAAAGGACTATAAAATCATGACAGAAAAATATTATGCAGTTTTTTTTTTTTTTTTAAGAGGCAGCTGTTTTGAATCCAATGTTTTTACTTGGGTAACAAAAAAAATATTTATACTTTTATACCTTTATACTTTCACCCAACTCTAACAAAGGAAAAAAAAAAAAGATTTACATTTTGGTATTAATACTGAAAAACAGCATGAGGTATTAAGTAAAAATGCTAAGCATACAGAGCATTACCCCTGCTTCTAATTGACATAAATAAGATGCTTAATGAGAAGCTAGCCTGCACTCTGCTGCTTTACAGTAGCACAGATTCCTAATGTGACCCTTAACCAGAACCAGCTGCTGGTTAAACAAGCATTTATCCACAATGGATCAGACTTCAGATTGAAAGACAGGTTTGAAAACATCTTAAAGATTATTAACAGTTTTAAAGCTTGAAAATGCTAACCTTTCTCTTCTTTTGCCAACAGTGCCGTCCTTCACATTCACACCAACAGGTAAGCACAGGGTGTCTGAGCATTCTTAAAACATCTTAAATTCACAAAACTAAACGTAAGTTGGCATTAAGTACATTAATTAGAGCTCTTAAATTTTGTCATTTCAGGACTATTAAATCTCACATATGTTTTTTTTTCCCCTCTGAACTTTTCTGTCAATCAAAGGTTTGCATGGTGTTCTGACATCTTCATTGTGTTCTGACTTGAAGAGGTTGAGGTTTCTGCTAACTAGCTGCTAACATACCATCTTGCTAGCTAGCTAGCTTTTTTTGTGCCTATCATGGGGACAGGCTTTGAACTCAGGAAAAGTCACTGGGTGCCACAGGAGCAAAAGTTGAATATTTTCCAACTTTCTTGTGGAGTTGCTGGCCTTTGTGTGCAAATGGAATGAAAGATTCCTCATGCATGGATGTCACTGGTCACTTGGCAGGAGGAGGGCAAGCTTTCGCCATCTCATTGTGCCAGATCCATAGGAAACAAATGAAAAAGGAGCAATGCTGCTTTTCTTGTGTTGAGCCTCTTTAAAGTTAAAATTTATTGCCAATTGGCTGGAAGGCCTCAGTTCTGAGAGGCTGGGCACAATTTCACTATTTTTTGCAATGCTTGATTGTAGTGCATTTTTTTGGGTTTGAAGGTGTCATTAAAGAGTCTTAAATTTGACTTGCTTGTAACCTGCCACATCTGCCGTCTTTGATTAGACTATTAAAATAAAAATTACTGACCTAATAAAGTCAGCACAAAGTGAAAGCCAGTAAAATAAACCGATCATTTGCACAGTTACTTAAAAACAAAGGTTCTGCTCGGTGTTTTGGGTTGAGTCAGAAGTCTGTGTCTGAGATCAAGACGCCTCTCTGCTAAGAGGCTATTAAAGCCAGTAGCAACTTGATCAAGCAGCTGCTTGCAACATTAGATGGGATTTTAGAGAATGACACAGCACTGATGCACCGTTTAGATAACTCAGGGAGGTTATTTATGAATCAAAGTGATGTGACATGAAGCAGATAGAAAGACAGAGAAGCTTTCCTTGGACGAGTTTGTGTTTGTGGACTAAAACCCATCAGAAAAAAACAATTCTTTGTCTGTCTGAGGCGTGGCACGGCTGAGAGTAGATGAAAGGACACGGCAGTGAGCCACATGGAGGGGAAAGAGACAATGTGTTTGTTGATACGCAGGTTGATCTTGTCTGAGCTCCTATCTGTAGCTACCGTTTTATTTGCTACTTTTTTTTTTCTGCCTCGAGGGTTGCAGTCATGCAGACTCTTATTGCAGCTACACGCTCGTTCCGCGATCTGTTGGAAATCTTTCAGGTCAGACTCATTCCTCACCTGTGTAATAAGGTTTTGTTAGTTTTAGAGAAGGGAGACTGTGCGGGGTATTATTCTGATTTCAATCTACAACCAGACAATTATGCTTCCTCTGGATATGAGGGACTCCAGCTATTTTCTGTTTTAGAGAAAGGGGGGAAAAAAGAACAGAGCCGAGACCTGGGCTCATTCTCTTTCTACCCTCCTCTCCTCTCAGGGTACAGATTGTAATTAAAGTTTGAGGTTTATCTCCCTTTCACACACTGGCAGCTCAGAGTTTCTTGAAAGTGTTCGACTTGCAACGTGAGGAGCTTCAAACGAGTTGAACCTGGGCTGGAAATCCAAAGAGCTCTGCGTTTGTGTTCCTCATAAGCCTCCTATGGTGAATCCTCCTGCATCACACGTGACTCAGCTGACACCATGCAAATATGCCAGCATTTAAAATGTCAAAAAATAATTGGATGCAATAATATTTGATGTTTTTTTTTTTTTTTTTTTTTTTTTTCATTTTGTTATGGTACAGCCACAAACTTTGCACACAATTCTGGGGTTTGTAAGAACTGAAAAGTTTGGCCTTTATTTAGCCCACTGGCACCACTAAATTAATTTTGATGTCACCTTCAGCATCTCTGTATAATTAATGTTCTCTTAATTTGCTGTGTGACGGTAATAGAAGTTTGTTAGGGAACATTAGTGAGCAAACGATGAACAAGGATAAAGTCAGGAAATTAAAGCAGAATTAGCCTATACAGACCATCACTGAGTCCAGGAAACAAAAGAGGATTAAGCACAACTATAAACCTAAAGGACATGTCTGTTCACCTGACGCTAACAGGTGAGACTGGGGGGAGCTATTAGAGTTCACCAACTCAAATGAAAGACTTTTACATACCTTTTTAAATATGATGAATGATGAAATGCAATACCTACATCATCATGAACATATAAATAGCAGTAAGCATGCTGCTAGAATGCAACATTTACCTTCTTAAACATGCTGTATTCAGTCATTGCCTGTTGCATGTCCCGTGTCTGAACTGTGCTTGCCCCTCTCCCAAGAAACATAAATGTGTTGCTGTTTGGTTCTGGTTCTTCAGTCTAGACTTTCAGAATCCACCTCGCCTCATATGCGTCGGCAACAGAAGTGGATCGGTGGTGAAACCAAACATTGTCTTGCCAGCTGTTGATCAATTTTCACTTAAAAAGCACAGAGTGTTTCATCAACAGAATGTTGATAACAGAGGTAGCGAAGAGTACCATGGTAACTCTGGAGGAGCTGCAGATATCCAAAGCTCAGATGCAGGAATCTCAATCATCAACTAATTGCACTTAAAACATTGCTTTGGCTTTATGAAATAATATTAAGAATAATGTGGTTGCCACAAGAAAGTCAGAACTCACAGTTCTATCAAAAATCAAATGTACAAGCGTGGACCTAGGAGGAGAAGCAAGCAGCACAGGAAACATAATAACATAAAGCCTCGGTCAGTAGAGATGATAGTTGAAGTTATTGGCAGAATCCTCTGATTTTGCTAGCAGGAATTCAGAGTTTGCTCAGAGTTGATGGAAAGGCAGATGGAGTTAAATACACTGCAGGTGAGAGTACAACAGTGTTAGAGGACGGACGGACGGATGGATGGATGAGTCTCTGGTTTTGCTCAGTTGATGGATTCTTGCAGCTGTAACTGCAGTGGAAGGGTTTCTTCTGTTAATATTAAAATGCATCCCACATTTTGTTTCTTTTAAAAAATAAATTAAGAAAATTATGACTTATTGTCCTTCCACTTTATAGTTATAATGCCGGGGCATTTCTTTAAACCTCAATAATGTCCTTTGGTTGTGTAAAGAAATAGTAAAATATTGGTATTTTACTTTACATTTCTCTGAAAGTCTACTGAAAATGATTGTCTCTCTTTTCAGTGGCATATCAGAGGGGTGGGGAAGGCGTCAGCAGTGCTGGAAGGTAAGAAGAGTTTGCTTAAAGTCTAATTTTAATAAATAAAATGGGGGTGTGACTGAGTAGAAGGACAGCCGTACTTTTCCTACACAAACACTAGGGGGAGAGCTGAGCCTTTTCTAAAGTAGCACATGGCAGGAGGTGGAAGTAGGTGCACAAAGTGTGTTGTGTTACTACAGGAACAAAGAGCTGTGCAGCCTGCCAGGAGCCTATCCCCATCACACACACACTGAAGAGCCACATCCAACCACAAGGCTGTGCCACAGCATCACGGTAGAACCTTAATGGAGATGCAAAGCTCACCTTCCCATACAGTGAAGTGGTGCATTGTGCATAAACAAGCGAGACCTTTCAGAACTAGAACCACCAAAACTCATTTGTATGTTCACTAGATGGCCTCTGGCATGACGCCCATATAGCTGCCAAATGGAAAACAGACACACACACACACGCGCACACACACGCAACAAAATAAAATGCATTCAATTATTACCCGCTTTCTGCTCAGAGTACAGAATGTACTTAATGCCATGCCATAAATGTGTGTGTGTATGTGTTCTTCATGTGTTAATGAATAGTTAGCTTGAAGCCATCAACAGTAAATCCATATTCATTACATTACCCAGTTGTATGATTGAATCCCGGACGCAGTGAGGCTGTGTCAGCTCTGCATGAAAACAATGGTCGTTCGATATCAACACAGAACCACTGGGGTGATGGAGGAGCCATTGTGAGATTGTATTTGGTTGTACAAGACAAATGTGTTCATTACCCAAAATGAATCCAAGAAATGAGTCATTTAGGACAGAATGAGGAAATGCAATTCGATGCTAATTCAGTGCTGGAGTATTCAGACTGGGAATCTTCCTGCACAGATTTGAATACCAAAGCAATTCATGACCCAGCTAAAGTAGACCGTCTTGTTCTAGACGCTAGATTGAGTCATTTAATCGGTGATAGAATATGGCTTGTTCTCCTTCTACACTCAACATTTGGCCAAAGGTCAGGATCTACAGTGGAGTCCTGTTAAGTGTCCTTGTAAATTTTGAAAAATGATTTTATTTATAAAATTTTATTGAAATAGTGAAACGCATGTTATAAAATTTGGTACAAGGTTGTTTGAAAAAATCCTAATTCTGTTTACTCGGAAAAAATGTATTACTCACCTTGCCATAAATCATATGTAAAGGCCTAAGACATTTTAATTGTTAGACATATAGTCATTCCAAATGATTGTTGCAGAAACAACAACAACAAAAAAGATGCTAGCTGTATCAAAGCATATTAATGTTTAGTTTAGGGGAAACATGGATGCAAAAGACTTTAGAGGAGATCCACCAGGCATAGTGTCAGGGCTTCTATGTCTTTGTGTCAAGGTCAAAATAAAATATCTAGATATTAAAACAATTCACTTTAAACTCAGTTTAGTTAAAAATGTAAAAAAAAAAAAAAGTACTAACATAGTAATAGTAATAGCCTGTCCTGAATCCCTACACTTTACTGCAGAGTGATATTAACACTGCCACTTTTATAAACCTACTTTCTACTTCACACTCTGTCAGTGACCATGTCCTCTCCTCCACTTCTTTTATTTCAAACAAGAAACACACAAAAACAAAATAAAACTAATGCTATATATAGCCATAGATACAATGTCTATAAGCATAGAGTATATAGATCATCTCAAAATTAAACTGATGCTTGAGACTTGTAATGTTTTAAGGGCAGATCCAACTATCTTAGCATGAGCTTATAATGGACACTTAACTACTTTAATGTTAGTGGAAATAATTAGTGCTTTAGTGTTAGAAAAACTAAATGTTTAGTTTGTGGTGGTGCAGAATATCCTGCTGCAGTCAGTGACTGCTGAAAACTTGTCAAGTCAGCAGTCTTTTTCCATGACAGTTTTGGCCATATAACATTTCTGAGATAAAATATCCTCCTGTGAATTCATCTTATATAATATTCTAATAATATTGACTTCAATTTAGGTGTTTATTAGTTTTAAGGAGGAATATCACATTAATGAGCAAAAACTACTTTCTACCAACTTCCTAATTGTCTGAGATGGATATTATATAAAACGTTTAATAGAAGGTAAATAAACGGGAACAGAAGAAAGAGTTGGTGTTCAGCTAAGAAAAAAAACTCAAATGAAAGAGATATTGTGACACCAGGGAATCTATAGAGAGTGTACTTGTGGTTCACTGACTGCTCATTTCGCAACATGGGGAGTGAATTTTATCTGGCTGTCTAATCCAAGCAGATCGCTGATGCTCATGGAGGCTCAGAGAAAGTGTTGTCAGCTGTAGGCAAGTTGAGCACACACAATCTATTTAGCTGGGTTCGTGTTTTTGTTGTTGTTGTTGTTGTTGTTGTTGCCCCCCACCCTGAAATGTGTTGCCTTTGCACACGATTGCCCAAAAGGCAAAAACTACCAAAACCTTTTTTTTTTTTTTTTTTTTTGAACTTTTCCTCTTCTCAGCTGGATAAATAATCTCCTCCATAATCTTCTGTTTCTGCGGGTGCTTCCTGTTCACTCGGATGAATGTCGCTGCGGTGTTGGCCAAGCCTGTCTCTATTGTTAAACATTTGGGTTTTCTTTTATAGGCCCGGTTTGCTAAACATGGGCGACCCAGCCACTCAGCCCTGGCTGGCCGACACGTGGCCCAATTCCTGCTCCAACCACAACGACTGCAGCATCAACTGCTGCACGGCAGGCAACGGCAACAGCGACAGCAACCTGGCCACATACAGCAGACCAGGTAACACAGACCAAAAGGAAACAGTTGACTCTTGGAGGCGGCGGCGAAGCCTCTTGACGAAATAGTTACGGTGATAAGATATGCGGGAGCCGGGGGAACCTGCAGTGTAAAAAAAAAAAATAAAAAAGGAAGGGGGGAGTACAATCTGATATCTGGGTTAGCTCTCTAGAGAGTCGGTGTGCATCTCTGCCTTCTGCAGGTCTCCGCAAGAAATAAAAACAGGAGAGCGTGTGCTTTGTGTGTTTGATTTATCTGAGGTTAGGGTAGAGCTGTTTTAGGCAGGAAATAAAAGGAGTACACTGAGCAGGGCTTATAGCTCTACTCTATTGCTAATCAAATTGCTCTGCTGATTTCCATACAGTTGTTATAGCCAGTAATGTAATTTCCTCTAAGTGCTCAGTTGTTTAAGAAATGTGCAGCAGAAGAAGGAGGCCAGGGCCGGCCTGCAGACGGCGTCCAGAAGCAAAGGGGTAGAGGGAAGGATGGATGGAGGGAGAAAGTGAAAGAGGGAGAGGACATCTGGCTCAGCAGAAAGAGAGGGATAGGATTAGACTGAGTCTCAATTCCTAGAGTTATCCCTTACCATACTGTGAGGTATCCGGCATCGTCATTTAGGCTGTCATTTGGAATATTCCTTTGAGAAATGAGACTGTTATCAATCTGTTTGTAAAGCCTTTAAAGCAGGGCGTAAACTCCAGTCCTTCAGAGCCACTGTCCTGCAGGTTTTAGATGTGCCACAGGTACAAAACACTGGGATGAAATGGTTGAATTCCCTCCTCCTCGTGTAGATCATTTCTCCAGCACCTTGTTAATGACCTAATTATTCTACTCAGGTGTGGTGCAACAGAGGCCCATCTAAACGTTGCAGGGCAGTGGCCACTGCAGACTGGAGTTTGATACCTGTGCTCCAAAGGAAAAACAAAAATGTGTTCCTAAACAGACCCTAGAAATGGTTCCATCTAGAACATTATGTAAGGAGTACCACCTTAGTAGATAAGTGTGTTTGGTCTACAGTTCTAGTGCAAATATCTTATCACTCTTGAAATAAGACAAAACCAAATTATAAGTAACCTTTTAACCAGATTTAGAAGCTTGTTTTAAGACAAATTCATTTTCTATGAACCTTTAAAATGCCTTCATGTTAACATCGGAGGGTTTATTTCCACAGAATCCATTGTTCTTCAGGAAACGGTTGGAGGTGGTGCACCACCAACTACCCTCCTATGTGAAACTCAGAACAGAAAATGTTAGAAGTGGAACAATCAATGGCACTTTAAAACTATGCTTTTTTGTTAGCTTTTTGTAATGTTTAACTTTTATTTACAGTCAAACTCAAGAAATTTGAATGTAGGCATTAATGTGTCTTGCTAGATTAAAGATATTGAACATGAATAGTTTTTTTATTGGTCTGATGTAATATTTTAAATGTCATGTTTTCATTAGCTTCATGATAAAGAGAACTAAATGTGTTAAAGCAGTTTTTGTCTCAATCTATTTAATATGTTTCACTTGGTGATAGTTACTGAAACATTTCTATGGCTTCACTCCATAAAAACGTTACATTTTCTATTATCAATCCTTTTCACTTGAGAAGATTTTGTGGGGCTCATCTCAAGCTTATATTTTTTGTGAAGATATCGATTGATTTTTCTATAAATAACCAGTAGAAATGTGACAAAGGCTTAATGTTTCATAGAAAACCGCCATGATGGTAGACATTTCAGCATTGTGCTGCCTGGCTTCATGCAGTGGAGAGAGAGGGTGAGAACAGTCATGGTGAGCGTCTTGTGCTTGGTTACTTCTTGCTCTTTGGTCAGTGCTCATAGTTGAGCGTTGTTTACCACCAGGGCCTCAGTTGCTATGTTTGATGGTGCAGACACTGGTGATTTCTGACACAAATGATATGGGCAAATGCCCAGGGCGTCATCTTTTTAGATAAGCAGAACAAGAGTTTGTTCTGATTTTAATAAATTTATTTAGTAAGTATTTAATATCTAGGTGTTTTTATGGGAATGTGAATCTTTCAGGTCAATCTATTAACAATTTTGATCATATTTTTATTGTGGGCACTGGTCTCGGTCCTGACTCGGTCTAGACTTCCTTCTGTCTTGGTCTCGGGTTTGGTTGTCTTGACTGCAGTGACCTACAGAATAATGCAGCCAAGAACTTAAGCCTGGATGACAGGGCTTCATGTTAATAGTTTTCAGCCACAACCAGCAACCCTGTCAGTGGAAACTTGGATTGTAATAAAATGTTTTATGTTCTAAATTATGCTCCATGGGGCTCCGGCTCTAAAAGTGCCACATAATTCCTGTCCAGCTGTTTGACCCAATATACATCCAGCCGCTCAATAGCTTCTCCCGACTTCCAACCTCTCTCTGTGAGGATTAATAATTCATTCTGCAGACTTCATAGTCAACTTCAGTTTTTCTTGGTGCTAATCACCCTTCCGAGGTTGAACGCAGCACGCGATGTTTAACAGGGAATAACAGGCAAAAACAGGCAGGCCTCACTCGCTCACATGACGCCCGGCTGTACGACGCTAAGGAGCTCGCCAGACGCAAAGCTTTGTGTGTGTGCCAAAACTAAACTCCGCACATTAAGAGGATCACTGACTGGGTGACAGAGCAAAGAAATCAGAGTTAATGTCCCTTTATCTGAGCCATAGGGGCGCTTTCACATGTCAGCCCTTTGAAGTGTTGATGTGCAGCTGAAATGTGCGGCGCGAGCCACATGTACCTATACGGTCGTCTCTGGTTTTTTACCGCAGGGGCTGGCTCTCAGATCTGCTGGAGGATTTGAATATTTTATGAGCCGGAGAAAATTGGATCTGTCAGTGAAGCTGTGCTTTTACGGCGCGCTTCGTTCCGTGTCTTTGATACAGACATGTCTGTCTGTCCTTCTCCATGAGTGAAGATGCTGCCGCCACTGTCAGATGGGGGAGAACAGAGATGACGCCCACACTGAGTCATTAGTGAGACTAAGAAGAAAAAAAAAGCTGATATCTGTATACCTAACTACAGGTAGATATGAGTAAAAATCACAGCTTGATCAAATATTTATTTATACTAATAAATTGAATTTAAAAAGTGAAGTTTTACATTCATCATTGCACATAATGATGTATTATGACTATTTAATGATTCTGACTTGCAGCCATCAAAAACAAGGAAAAATAAAAATGTATTTTTAGCACATTACGTAGGCAAAGGCCAGAATTAAATTATGATGGTATGATAATCTTAGGTAGCAATATCACAGTTTTGATGCATAATTACAGTTCCAAAAAGAGTTATTATAAAATAGCAATGCTCTCCTAGATATGTGATCATGCTAGATGTACAGTCTGTTTCTTTCTCTAAGCTGTTACCATCCTTTATTTAAACTTTAATATTGGCTGTAAAGTTCTAAGGACTTGCCTCCTTCTCCTAAAATGTCACCAGGTGAGTCTGAAACCATCCATGCACTGAACAGAAGCTTAGAAGGGTCAGAACTTTCTCCAGCTGAAGAAAAACAAAACGGAAGCTATTATCTTTGGATCTAAAGAGGAATGATCTAGAGTTGGCATGTCGCTTCAGCTATTACATTGAAGCTACATGAGATCAGGTCCCAAACTTTAACCCGACGAAGGTTAAGGTTCACTGCGTAGAGTATAGTGAACCTTAACCTGCAGAGACACATAAAGAAATACAAAGTCGTACTTCTATTACCTGAAGGACATTTCTAGGATTGAAAGACTAACATCCAAGACATAGCTAGAGAAACTCATCCATGTGTTTATCTTTAGTTCCATTGTCTTTACAGGCATCCTTAAAAAGTCAATCACACAGATGTTTTTAGTTTACTCTGAATGTCCAGAACCAGAAACAATTAGTTCCTTTGAATCAAGGCTAAAAATCTTTGGAATATTGACTAATATAGTCGATGTATATTTGATGATTATTCGAGGTGATTTTGATGATGGCATTTGACAAAATGCCATGTCTGTTGCTTGTTTCATGATTGGTTGCTATATTGTTTTTATCATGTAAAGCACTTTGAATTGCCTTGTTGCTGAAATGTTCTGTACTAATGAACTGGACTTGACCCAAATACTTTTAGTCTTTCAGCTTTACATTTGATCAGAAGCTGATCAGTGGTAAAGCAAAGACTGACCAAATGCCCTGCTCATGTTCCCCAGCCGACTGTATCGCCAATTATAACAGCCAGATGGATAACAAGCAGACCAACCTCATGGTGCCAGAGTCCGGCGTCTACGGAGATGTAGACCTGTCCAACAAGATCAACGAAATGAAGACCTTCAACAGCCCGAACCTCAAAGATGGCCGCTTTGTCGGTCCGGGGGGTCAGCCGACGCCTTACGCCACCACACAGCTCATCCAGTCTGCCATCATGGGCAACAACATGAACTCAGACAGAGGAACCGGAGGGAGCGGAGGCGGACTCGGGGGTGGAGGGGAAGTAAATGAGAAACACTGCTGGAAGCCTCCGTCCATCCAGCAGAAGCAGGAAATGGGCTCCCAGCTTCAGTACAACATCTTGGAGCAAAACAAGCTGAATAAGGGTGAGTGTGTGGCTGCAGGGGGGCAGCCATGGCTGCAGAAGTCATCTCCGAGACATGATCTTTCTCCACTTGACTTTCCCTACTATTGTTTCGGCTCCTGGCTGTTTCAGCCCTGCTGTGGAAGTCTTCATGCTCATCAACCCTCTGGCTTTCTCTCAGTCCTTCTCAGTGAACATGGGCATCATTACTCCTTACATCTGCTTTTTCTGTATACCATTCATGTGCCGCTCCATCTTCCTTCCTGCATTTCTTTTATTTTCTAAATTGGGGCGTTGTCAAGCACTGTCCTGGATTTGGTGTTGTGAAGAGGGTAGATCTTTGACTCAAGCTATTATCAAGTTTTTGTGCCTCTCTAATGCAGTGAAACTCGTAGTGTTTTATTGCATGTGTTCACATTTTAATAATTTGCTGCATGTCTCTTGCCATGTGTAGCTGTTAGAAAAGAAAATTTAAGCGCTGAAGAAGCGTTGTACAAAGTAGTAAAAGAGTTCTGAACAAACTACAAACTGCTTTCTGGCCCGCAGACCGGTACAGAGGAGGCGACAGTCCAATGCCCGCCACCATCCCCTACAACCAGACCCATGACACTCACACCGGAGGTTCCTACAACAGCTCGGACCGAGGCAGCAGTAGCACCTCTGGTAAGAAGCTTGGAGCTTACAAGACTGTATTCATGTCGAAAGACAGTCTTATACACATTAACGTGGGCATGTGAATGCCATTCGCATAATCCCATGGAGTCTATAGCGCAGGGCGGAGTCTGCACCCAAAACAAACATACGAGTCTAGCACTAGTGGGAGAAATGGCTTGTGGCCAAAGACAAAAGAAATTGCTAAAATCTCACCACTCCAAATGCCGGTGAGATTTCCACTTCACTCTATTTTTGTTTGCATTTTATAAAGAAGGAAGTTGCGTTCAGTGTCTTCTTTAGAGGTTTTCATGTTGTCTCCTTGCAGCGCCACCACAGGAGAGGTGGTGAACAGGTTGCTCAAAGCTTTGGTTGGTTTGACACTAGGGCTGTTGTAAACAAGTATTTTAGTAATTGAGTAATCTATCAATTATTCTTACAATTAATCAAGTAATCTGGTAAAAAAAAAAAGATAAAATAGCAGCATTATTGTCGCATATCAACACCAGTCCATCCAGACATCAGCACAGCCTACCAAGACATGTACATGCAAGTTGAGCATCCCTAACAACTTTTGCTGTTATTGTAACAATAATGGTTCACTTTCCAAGTTAACCTGAAGAAAAGTTCTACAAAAATCTGAAATTATATTCAATTCAATAATAAAGAGGCATCCTCACAAATACGCTTATAAAAATGTGTATTCTTCAGGTTTTGGTTTATGTATTCATCTTCATCCAGTTTAATAGATGAACTCTCACCTTGCCCAGATATTTATAGCTTTGTGTTTATGTTAGTGACGGGATTTGATACCCTCATTCGTCAGTCAGAAACATCTACCAGCTATGTGCTGCCACAACGTTCTCCGCATCCCATTTGTTGAGACCCAGATGATATGAAATAAATTTTCCAGTTCGTCCATAAAGCTACACTTACGTTAATCATCTAATGCGCAGCTGCCTGCAGTGTTCAGTCACCTGTATAAATACACCTGCAGTGCTCTTCCCCACTGTTGGCTCTGAACCGCCACCAGGCAGCAGCTTCAGGCATTGTGCCAGTCATTTTATACTGGTCCCCCGAAAAACACCAAAGACCCAGACATTATCATCAATCAATAAAATCCTCAAAAGGCTGAACTTGAAAACTGGATGTTATGCTGCTAACACTTAGCTTTCATCAACAACTCAGGCGAAGGGGAGAGCGCTGGGCAACACCAGTAATAACCCAGCCGGAACGCAGTGCGCTGAATAATAAAATATAATTTAAAGAAGCTTTGAGACAGATAAATTTTCCTTGAGGAATTTTAATAATCAAGGTACTTGAATCACTCGAGGAATCGTTCCTGCCCTATTTGACACAGTGCAGTGTGAAAGTGAACCGCAGCAGCTGAAAATGTCAGAAATGTTGCAACTTTGGTCCCCAATACAACAGAGTCTAATGGACTATCTGATGTGAAAACACTCAGACTGAGAGGAACATCCAGACATCAGCACAGCCTACCAAGACATGTACATGCAAGTTTCTGATTTAAAAACATAAAGTTACAGTGCACTAATAGGTCCTGGTTTAATTGATATAATAGCCCTAGTAAGGGCTATTATGTAATATTATGTAAATTATATAATTATATAAAAGTGCCTTGATTGAGATACCTCTACTTTTAGAAGGCAATATTTCATAGTTTTTGTTTTTTGTACCAGTTTCTTATAAAACATTGAACTAAGTCAGCAGCTCCTTGGCATGCAGGCTTTTTCCATTTTGTAGGCGCAACTGTTACCCAAGGATATTTGAAGGAAAGTATAAAGGGACATTTTAACTTTGTTTTCCTGAATCTGGTTTTGTATTCATATTTAGCATCTGCTTATTTTGTCCTAATTCTGTTAAATGGCTTTACTCTCCATTGTGGGGCAGCCTAATTGCATCAAGTTCTCAATGTCTGTCTGTGGACAAGGACAAATGATTACACAGTGCAGACGGCATGCAACACTGCCACCTTAATGCCATGTATCCATTCTGATATTACGTTTGAAGTTCAAACCATTAAGAAGAGGCCCTTACTGCTCCTTGCACATCACAGCTCATTGGTTCACCATTTTAATAGCTTGCCTTTAATTGGAGCCGTTTCTGCAGTTTTGCTCCCACCTTTTCTCTGAACGCTGGCGAAAACAGCTGGCTTTTCCTCTATAGCCAGCATTTTACTCAACATTTTTAAAATTAAAACAATTTCTCTCTGTCAGCCATGTTAATTTACATTTTGAATACTGTAAATTTACGTTTTTGTTCAGAATTTATGTTTTCCTATTTCAGAGTTATGAAGCTGTGCGTGGGAAATGTTTGTTGTGACTGACTGGGCATCCTTTTCTTTCCTGAGCAGGGAGTCAGGGTCACAAGAAGGGAGTACGGACCCCCAAACTACCCAAACAAAGCACAATGAATTGGGCCGACCTCCTCCCGCCTCCCCCGGCAAACCCAGCCCCGATGCGAAACACAGAGGAGTATTCACTCTCTATGGAGGAAAGGTAAAACGCTGTTGTTTTGGGGGATTTTTAAGAGAAACAGAATTTAGAGATTTGTGGCAGGTTTGTGACATCTGTTTCAGGAAAAATTTATTCTGATTTGTTATGTTTAGGAAAGTTTACAATGTTGTGTGACGGATGGCTCTCGTACACACCCTAAAAAGTCCTGCATAAAACCGGGAACAAGTGTAAAATGAAATGGAGGAAGAGCAAAATGGCTACCCTTTAAAAACTAAGTAAAACGCCTTAAAGCAGGGTGCTCAACACCTTGATCGTGATCTAAAGGTCAATCGCAGGAAGGTTTTGAGTCGATCTCAGCAGCAGGTGACAAACTGAAGGCCTCCAGAACGCTGAGAGCAGCACTTCCTCTTCTGACAGGCTTATCAAAATATTCATAAGATCCAAAATGTTTGTAGCTTCATTAAAGAATGATTTTTAAAAAATCAACAAAACATGTTAAAATTAATATTCTCAGTAATTATTAAGTTGTGTTCCAGATCCATTAACAAATAAAAGGGGACTCAAAGACCAACAGGTGTTTAAATTAGTTAATCAACCACTGCTGTATTCATAAGAGCCTCATTAATAATAACTAAATATCCAGCCTGGAAACCTGATATTGTAACAGACTGAATGTTTTTAACGTAATCTTTGCTCAGCTTGCGGTCTGTAAACATTTGACTGAAATTTGCACTATTTGTATGCCGTGATTTTTACATCTAAAAACTGAAATAAGCCAAATTTGAGGGGATTTTTCTCAATAACAACTTCTGTTACTAAAGTTGTTACTTCACTAAAAATATTTTAGTGAAGTAACTAAAAATATTTTTTAGTTACTAAAAATATTTTTGTAAAAATATTTTCAACGCAACCTGACAGAACTCCACTTTGATGCATCTACTAAATGGAAAAGATTGGATTTTCAAGTTTCTGAATCTAGTAACTAGATTACAATTCCTTGCTTTTCAACTCTTTGTTTAGCATGGTTCTTTCATTCATCACAAGTATTTGCCCTAGGAGTTTTTTTTTCTGACTTATATCAAGATGGCATGAATAATTAGTCCTTTTTTTTAGATGCTGTGTATAAATAAAGCATGTTTCCATGTGCAGATAACAAGCCTTGTTTATGTCTTGTTGCAGCTGTGATCCTGACATGCAGTGCCCCATGCCTCCATCTCACATGTACCTGCAGCCTGATGAGCTGGAGGAGGAGGAGATGGAGCGGGGTCCCACTCCTCCCGTACGTGGGGCGGCCTCCTCCCCTGCTGCCGTGTCCTACAGCCACCAGTCCACGGCCACGCTGACCCCCTCCCCCCAGGAGGAGATGCAGCCCATGCTCCAGGATGCGCCGGACAGCCACGAACGAAGGCATGCCCGCAACACAAGCATGACATAAGTATCTAAAAACGAAAAACAGAGACTGTGTGCAGCTGTTTAGAAAACATTATTTTAAAGATCCATCCTGTATATTTAAAATTCATAGCCATTTGTCATGATTTACTCCATTAACTGCAGATTTTGTATATTGCATTGCAATGTCAGCCATTTTTCATAAGCACATTTTGGCCTTTGGTATGATTTCTTACCTTCAGGAAAGTCGTTTGTTTCAATTCATTTCCAAACTAGGAGGAAAAAAGCATTGCCTTAAATAAATTCAGTTTATTATATGTCAGATACAGATTATTGATGAGCAACTATGAAGTTGTAAGCAGCAACATTTTTATTATTGATGAGGAACATTACAAATGTAGAAACCTTTACAGTACAGATGCTAGATTATCTTACAAACACGCCATCGAGTCTCGAGTTTTTGTACAGTTCAGGATCATTTTGGCAACTAAGATGTATCTTCAGTGACTATAATCATAATTTAAAGCATTTGCTACAGGTGATGTCATGCTGTGATTTTATTACTTCAAAACATAATTCTCATTTTTAGTGGTCTGGTGATTAGCACAATTAGAGTGATTAGCACCAAACTATTTTTATGAAAGACGAGAATTAGCAACATTGAAAATTAGTAGGCTAATATTTTATAACAAACACTAGCATCACAATTAGCAGAGTTAGCATTGTTAACTGCATCTTTAAACAAAGATGAACAACAATTAGTTTTAGTAACCGTGCTTGCTTACAACTGAATTAAAATTTTAAATAATCTTTCACATTTTATTTGAGCAATAACAATTGAGTAAGTATTTTCAAACCAAGTCAAAATGATAGCAAAGCTCACATTTTAAATGTTTTATCCCTTTGATTAGCTGAACAGTGTCTGTTAGCACCAGTAGCAGTTATTGTGTCAAGGATGTGCTCAGGATGTCAGTGCATCCTTAACAAGCCATGCATCTCAAATTCAAGCCTTAAAATGTCTTAAGTACATTAAACAAAATGTAATTTGTCCTCAAATCACAGATATCAAATTCTGTTGTGACATAGCCGCAAACTATACCAACACAAATGAGTGTTAGAGTTTCTAACCAGCCTTTTAGTGTTCATGACAACTGAACTAAAAAAATAAAAAAACTGTCCAGTGTAGCAGCTGATTTCTGTGTACTTCTGTACTTTACAATAAAGTAAGTTAGGCAACATGGAGAAAATTAATGTCTAAAAACTCAAAATGTATCTTTCCACTTACCGAAGACGCCATGGTGTAAGCCCTCCACCACCTCCGAGGCCCCTCTCCCCCTCGCACACATACGGCTACATCAGCAGTCCCCTGGCATTGGACACTGACGGTCTGGACGACGAGGACATACTGGAGGAAGAGGAGGAGGACGGGGATGAAACAGACGCGGAAGTGGCCAAGATGCATTACCACCACACCCACCCCCACATGCACTCTCATCACCCCCAGATGCACGCACGGAGGTTGCTACTGCGAGGCCTCGAACAAACGCCCGCGTCCAGCATGGGCGACCTGGAGAGCTCGGTGACGGGCTCCATGATCAACGGATGGGGGTCCGCCTCCGAGGAGGATAATGTCTCCTCGGGGAGGTCAAGCGCGGTCAGTTCATCGGACGGCTCCTTCTTCACAGACGCGGACTTTGCTCAGGCGGTTGCCGCCGCAGCCGAGTATTCAGGACTCAGGGTGGCAAAGTACCCCAATCCCCAAGGCCAGGAAGTGGGAGGAGCTTCAGGTAAACTCAGCTACTTCTGCTGGAGCTGGAGTTATTCTGAGAAACTTGACGTATGCCTAAGACGTGTTGGTCTGTTTTGTCTTCTCAGCACGAAAATACCAAATAAACCAGCCAGGCCACCGCCCTGGCAGCCCGGTGTCCACAGATAGTAATATGAGTATGGCAGCTATTCACAGAAGGCCTCCGAAAAAGCAAAAACAGCATCCTGCAGGACATCCAGGCAGCCAGCGACGTGAGGCCTTTAACGAAGGTATTTGAACTTTAATCATTTGATTAATCAGGATCAGTTGTTTCAGACCTGATTAAAGTCCACAAATCTGATGCAATAGTCTTGCATCAAGTCTGGCTTTTAGTTAAAAAAAGACAACTGATATAGAGCTGGACAAGAAATTATTTACAATATATATCACAATTAATATCAGATAATATTTCCAATAGTATCAACAAATTGTTACCTAGGAACAATCTGTTGAATAACTTGCAGCAGTTTCAGGTTTTGCCCTCATGTCTCATAACTGCTTAATTGTAAACAGCAATGGTGTGGAGAGGAATGTGGAAAAAAAAAATCTATAATATTTATATGGACAAATATGAAACGCGTATACTGTGATATGTTTTTCAGTAGCTGAGCTCAGTTTGGGTCAGCGGCTTTCTTTTGATTTTCTGAACAACAACAAAGAGGAAAAAAAACTGTTTACTGTGTGTAAATGACTGAGTGTGTGTGCGTGGGTGTGTGTGTGCGTGTGTGTGCGTGTGTGTGTGTGTGGGTGTGAGTGGGCGTGCGTGGGTTTGTGTGTGCGTGTGTGTGGGAGTGTGTGTGTGTGTGTGTGCACGTGTGTGTGGAGCCAGAGTGTAAATCATCCTCTCCTGTGTGTTCATGCACACGCGTCCATCCTGTCCTCTGGGAGTTGTGTCCCGTTCAACAGCGTTAGCACTGGGATGCTTCTCTCTCCTGGCCTTTGTAGAAATGGCTCTGCAGCGCCACCTTTAGCTTTGAGCAGGTTAAATACCAGAACAGAGACTCACATCAACAATAACCTTGTTAGCTAAAAGAGCCACCGGCTGTTTCCACCATCCGTTCTAAACGCTCGGACCTTCCCACCGAAAAAATACTTTGACATTATTTCTTCCTGCTTTGATCTTGTGGAAGGGTCTTTTTTAAAGATGTATCTGTATGCTGGTGTTCACACACACACACACTTCCTCTGGTGTGCACAGTGTGTGCAGCCCCAGAGCTGGCTCTCCTCTTAGTGTCAGGTGTCCTTGAGTGTTGGAAGCACTTGACAGGGAGATTTAATATCCAACTCACTGGGAGCCAGACCAGCTATATCACTGCAGAATTCCTCCTTCCCTCCCACACCCACCACCACCACCACCTCCACCATCATCCTTATATCCCAACACATCCTCTGCCCCTCCCACACTCTGATCTCTCCATCCTCTCCCCTGTCTTTGTTTGAGCAGGGGAGGGGAGCAGACTGACAGCTCTGCAGTTCTGTGTATCAGTCCTTTTGCTGATTGCATTTGATCTGAATGGATTGTTTTTCATTTGGAGGTTATTGCCATCCCCCTCCCTCCACCCTCATAGGCTGTCTCTGGTCTGGAATCCTGCTGCTGAGGTGATGGGTGAGGAAAGGTGGTTATAAGCATTTAGAGGGGAAAAAAAGAGTCAGTGTTCCCATATATCTGATCTAAAGTACATCCTCATGTGTCACGAGTCTCAGTAAATTGAAATTTCATCAAAAACTGAAACCGATAAAATATAGTGAAATTTTCCTGTCAAATTTGATTATTTCCAAGTGACTATGGAAGGAAAACATGTTGCGCTTGAGCTTCTCGAAGCAAACATAAACTTCCAGTGGGCTAAGAGGCTTTGTTGTCCATCACTTGTGCGTTAGATTTACAGACGTACCAGCAACATGTGAATACAAAGGTTCCGGCTTGGTAAAAAGAAAAAAAGAAGTGATTAATTTTTAACCTTTTTAATCTACATAATGAAATGAAAGTTACACACTTGTAAAAATAATATAGATTTGGATTTTTCAAGGAATACCAATAAATTTGGAGAAGGAAGACAAACCCTTGCCCTTCTCTACGTCTCAGACCAGGACACTCCCCTCATGTTTGCACAGTAGATATTAATACCCACATCTTTCCCTCTTCCCTCCAAGATTTATTGTATGTTTGACTCCAGTGCCTTTCTCTGGCCGCTCTCCTGTCTCTTCTGATCCTTCTCAGCCTCGCCTGCTTAATTAACCAGCAGCCTCATAGATTCATCCTCCATGGCGAGCTCACAGAGACACTTCTCAGACCTGAGCAGTGTCCTCCGCGATCATAAATCTACCAGGCACACCTCTGCACCCTGGTAGTGAGCTATAGCTCACGGACAGTGGCATTGATCGGACTCTGAGGCCAAACTCTGAAGGCATGGTAGATATTAAAAAAAAATAACTGCAGATTCCTCTCTGCTGTATGATATACACCCTTCCTCCTCCTGCTCACCTGTTTGTATTCAGAGGGAATATGTTGGAGCACACAATAACTGCAAAAGTACTGAATCTGCCAGTGTCTGCAAACGAGATAAAATAAAAAATAATCAACTGGCCCCTTTTTGAGAGAACAGTTAGTGGTACTCTATATTTTCTATTGACGTCTCCAATAATGCACTCGAAACAAATGTCTCTGGCAGACATAAAGTAGCGTGCTAGCATGTTAAATTGTGTGGTAGTTTGACTCGTAACACATCTTAGAGCAGTTTAAATAAAAGTTATTTTCCGACTTTACAATCCCAGCACTTTGCTTTGAACGCTGTACAGATTGATGACTGCTGTTTCAGCTTCTATCTTCACAGCTGCCTGCACAGAGCCGGCTACAAATAAAACGGATCAAATCCAGTAACATGACCGTTTTGGTCTTGCAGGCTAAGCAGAGACCTGCCCAACACCAATATGTCAAAACTTTTCAACTATGTGCTTTCTGTCATGCTGTGATATTATTTCCCATGTTGGACTCGCCCCACTGCTGTGTGGGTTATGGATTCAAACACTGCACAGGTGGGAGCTGTGAAAAGTTAGCAGTAGTAACCTGCTTATTGGGTTGAAGTTTCAAACAAAAAAAATAGCAAACATAAATCGATGCAAGTACTCAAATATGTTATTGATGACTGGTCTATCACTTTGGCAACAATTCTAATTGTTAGGAAAATGTGGGGTTTTCCACTGAAGTTACAGATTTGACACATGGGATCAAATCAAAGCTTGTTTTTTTTTTCCTCTTTCTTTTGGGGCATAAAGTTGTTTCCTCAATCTGAGGGACCAAGAGAAATGCTTAACAACACATTAATCCTGTGTAAAACCCCCCGATGGTGATGAGAAGATGAAATGCCATTGATTTAAGGCTGGTGAGGCGTTTCTCTGGTGTGTTTCTCTGGTGTGTTTCTCAGATGGCTGTGTAATGTGTGAGAGGCCTGGCTCTCCTGCCCAGCAGCTCTTGTATGAATAATGGCTCAAGGACAGCTCACATTGATTCATTGACACGGAAAGTCGAGCAAGCCACTGACCATCAACCTCCTCTGCTGCCTCTCCCTCAAATCTCATAACTCTGCTCCTTGAATGTCATCTGGTGTGTTTATGGTCCGCTCTGAAGACTTTTCGGTCAGCGTGTGTACACACGCCGCAGCTGTGTTTACGCGTCACCCCACAGGTGTGAGTGACGGATAAATACTCAGAGAACGTTCAAGGGTTCACAGTTAAAAAAAACTAAACAAAAACCGGGTTTTTTATTGTGCGGTTGATCACTTCCTGTGTTTATCCACCAGACCTCCCTCCTCCACCCATTCCTCCTCCAGCGGTGCTCAAGTCTCCCACACATCCCTCTAAGGCGGCTCTGGAGGGCCGAGGAGTGATTTCCCCCAAAGCAGGCGAGAGCCGGGACAAGCGGGGAGGGGGCTACCGGCCTCAGGAGGGCTCGGACCCCAGAACCAGCTCATCTGAACGGAAAGATGCTCAGGACAGACAGAAGACTGCTCACGGAGGGAAGGGGAACAAACCCGAGAGCAGCACTGCCAACAAGGCCCGGCAGAACACAGGTACCGCCACGCTTACGCCGCTGCCGGTTACATTTCTGTTCTGAATGGCAAGTCACACAACTCTGCTCTCTGTCTAAAGAGGACGTTCTGCCGTACAGCCGACCACAGTTCCCAACGGTCAACAGCCCCAGAGACCCAAGCTCCTCCAGCTCCATGTCCTCCAGGGGTTCAGGGGGCCGGCGGAGAGGGGAAGGAGCACGCAGGAACCCTGGAGACCTGGTGGTCAACAACTCTGTCGCCTTTCACCAAGCAGAGGAGGAGCTAGAGGTACAAGCTAACAACTGTCGTCAAATCGAGTCCAGTAGGACTCCAGTCATACTTATGTCACAAACAGTATTGCTTCAGGCTCAAAGCTGATAAACCAGACCATAAAAATCAGTTTCAACAGCTTGACTTCAGCTTCAGCTTTAGTGAGGCATGACATTATACTAAACACTGCTGACTTGGCCCGTTTGGTACTTGTGTCTGCTTTCCGCTGCTCCATCACAAGACCACAAATGTGACAGTGTTGACAAACCGAGCCAGGTGCTGGTTCAGATATTAGAGTAGGAGTGTTTGCCAGAAATGTCAACCCAGTAGTTTGGCAAAGGGGGAAAAAAATCCCACTTCCTCCCGGGTATGTTATTGGTTTTTGCTCATTTGTTCTGATAGCACAAAAGCTCCTTGGCTTCGTTCACACTGCAGGGAAAGGCAGCTCAAATCGGACTTTTGTCTATATTCATGAACAGCGCAAATATTACACAATCAGCTAGTTACAATGCTGGCACATATCATCAGAAGAAGTTGACTTACTATTATCTTTTCTATAGCACCACTGACTGCTCACGTTTTTAACTGTACCAGTTTATGCACTTTCTAGAAAACTGACATGTATCGTTTCTTCTCTCCCAGATGCTAGAAAGCTGAAGACGTCCAGATGAAAAAGGAGGAACTGTTCAGATTTTTCCCAGAGGAGTGGAGCACCATTTTTTTCTCTTACAATTTTAAATATCTCAGTATTTCACCATCATGTTGGCTGCCATTATAATGTATATCATATGTGTTTCTTTACATCGGGAAAAACAGACCAATACTATTTCCCCCCCCCTCTAACTTATCATTTCTTTGCCCGTTTTTTTTTTTTTTTTAAATAAAGTGTGAAGGCTGATTCATTTTAAAAAAAAAATAACAGTAACAAAACAACGGTATATTTATGTTGAATTCCAATGCAATATGCAGTGAAATTCTGCTTCAGACATTGACATGACTCAACCTGCCTTGACAAGAGCTTGGGAGTGCCCACCCAATGAGATGTTGCTGGAAGAAAAGCGGCCGCAAACAGGAAGGGGGGATAAACTGTCTGTAAATATATGTGTCAGTGTGATGTCTTGTTTTGCCCATCGTGGTACCTCGAAATGGTCTTCCTCGTTTTGTTTAGGAGATCTAATGTCATTACTTTGGTAAATAAAATTATTTTATCATTTCCATCCATGTTTGTAAATTGCTATATTGTTTACCTGCCTCTCCTGCCCCCCCATAAAAAAATAGAAAGTGCCACTTTGGGTTGTTATGTTTGTTCGTCTTTTTGTAATGCACTGTTACGTTCTGTGTTCTCATCAATGTTTTTTTTTTTGTTTTGTTTTGTTTTACTTTGGTTTTAAAAGCACAATCACTAAACTTTATTTTAAACCATTCTGTCTATTAACCTTTTTCGTCTTACTTTGAGGAAAAGAAGTGACAGAAAGAGTCTAGTTAATCCTGATGATGATGATGTTGGTAAAGTTTGCTGTTTACGAAGGCTGTGCTTGAAACGAGACTCCGCCCCCTTTGCCCCCGCGCCAAGATTGTCTCCCTCTCCAGTTCTGATGCTAGCTCAAGTGATAAAGACAGTTAATGTGAGTCATAGCTGCAATGTAAATATCTTCTTTTCACAATGACCATAAGTTGCACATGAATCAAAAAACGGTTGTGTTGCCTACAAATGCACTTAAATGAATGTCAAATACAGGAAAACATGTCACTTTGGGAACCTGGAGAGGCTTTGATTGGGCAAAAAGAGTCTTTTCTTCATACGAAGGGGCCGATTCAAACCCTGTTTCAAGAAGACGGGGTGCTGTTTATTCATAGGACATCTGCAAACATTTGTTTCGTAAAGTAAAAAACAAAACTGAATAAAAACTTCAAACTAAAATGATATTTGTCATTTGTTCATTTACAGAAAAAGCTTCATATCTAATTTGCTGTTTTGCCACAGAGAAATGAGGCATCAAGTTTATTTGAATGGCAAAGAACAACATACACAATCAGGGACCAAATTAGCTTTTTTTTTTCACATTTTGATCTGGTTTGGTTCACTTTGGCCTTGTGTCAAACAAACTGGACCCTTTGAGCAAAATGTTAAACCGCTTGCCTGTGGGGACGCTGCACCAAGAACCACTGAATGAAATGACACAAAACCCTCTGAAGAAGATACTGAGTGCAACTTCCTTCACAAATACGTAGCAGTTGTAGGACGTCTCCTGCCTTTGATAAAAGACCAGGAGTCATTTGTGGCTCACGATAGATGCACAGATTTGTTTCGGTTGTATTTACCAAAACTATGCATTTTGGTAAAGTAGCTGCTGAAATGGTCACCACTCTGCTTGGCATTCATATATGCACTGGAACAGTAACCAGAGTTCACTTCAACCGGACCAGGCCTACGTTTTTAGGCAAACCAGAGTATGTTTGCACATTCAGACCTCTTCTTACAAGTCCATTGCTGCTTGTAGTAACAGAATACTACACAACTTTAGTTTTAAGTCTCCTGTCAATAACGATCATTAGGGCCGTATTCACTTCTTCCTGGTGTTAAGGGTTTTCATCGACACTGAATTACATCCCTTCAAAAGGGTTTCCTCTGTGCACATTAAACTTACTGATGCAGTTTCTCGTCTTGTTTCCTCGTGCATTCACACCTTGGCAAATGAACTGGACTTTCTAGGCAAAGGAAGAGTTACTGCAGACTAAACGGGTCCGGTCTAAACACACCCCTACTATCATTCTGTTCAGATATTGAGGAGTAACTGGCTTTGACAATACAAAGACTTTCAAACATAAAGGTTCTGTGCGTGATGCTCTAACAATGCAACAAAGCTTAGTTTTGACTTGTAAGATAAACTCATGAAGGATGATGCACACTGAAGGGATCTGATGACAAAATGAACACAACGCACTTCAGGAACATTGTCAAGGTGACAGTCATCAATATCCCTGCCACACTGGCTAAACAGCCATTTCTTTTTCTCATTGTAGTTATTCAAATGCTTCACCTAATGCCAGTTCCATTAGTGCTCCTCATTACTCACAATGTCAGCATGCCATGTCACTTCGTAAAGGCATTTGGAGAACAAGAGGCAGGCTAAAAACCACCACTAAAAGGGATTATGTGTAATTTGACAGGTCTAGTTTGCTGCCAATTAAGTGTGAGGAGGCTTTGATGATGTTACATAAGCAAACCAATGAAGAAATGGTTGCATTTGTCGATGACAAAAAATAGCCACAAAATTCAGAGTCACTGCAGCCTGATTGGTTGCTAAACCATATTTGTTCCAGTTTATTACATGTAACCTGCATACTGCTTGTTCTCTCAGAGGCAATGAACTGGCTTATGGGAGCCTTTAAGGTAGAGCACGATCTGACTTATTCAAACATCAGTGATGAAAAAAGAACGAATACCTTCCCTTCCCTCTCCCTCCTGAGTCTCACAATTGGAGAGGAAGTCCTGTTTTTACAAGCTAATGAATATTGCTAACCCCCTTCAGCGCTCTGTGGTGTCAGGAGACGTTCATGAAAAGCTGTGGGATTCAGCGTCTAACGGTGCAGGGGTTGTCATGACGACATCAAAATCATTTCTTGGAAGGATTTTCTGAGGAGATCCAACAAACAGCTGGCAGGTTCCCAGGGACGCTCCACATTTTGAGACATTAAAACCACAAACAATAGTGTTTTTTGTTGAGGTTTTAAATGACTAAACATCACAAGGTAGAGAGGAATTTTGAAAGTTTTATGAAGGAAAAATCTAAAATGTGCCAAATACATGCAAGTCCTTTAATCTGAAACAATATTTAGGGGACTTCAAAGTTGCCTCGTTACGAATCGAGTCCACCTGTGTGTGATGTCATCTCATAGCCGTTTGTTTAGGGCTCAGTGATTTCCTACACAACATTAATGACCAAACAGCATCATAAAGACCAAAGAACACAGCAGCTATGTTAAGTTAAAGCAGAGCCAGGCTTATACTTAAAATATTCCTAAGTAAAATATTCAATGAAAAGACTAATGTGTTGTAGACAAAATTTTAGATTGTAAAAATTCTTGTATTCCCATTTGAAATTAAAAATAAAATGTGAGACCACATAAATTTACTAAATTTAGGACAGCAAATTCAAATTTCTTCCTTATAAATAAATCAATATTTAAACTATGTAAATGTAAACTATCCATAGGGAACATTACTCTAACAGGCAGCTAAATGTAGCTTGTGATTTCTTCCACTTCTCATTATAAACCAATACACCAAACTTCAAACATCTGCAAACCTGAAAATGTGCCATGACATGACCTCCCACAAACTAACAGTACAGACTATTTATCCAGAGAAGCAGCCAAGACTGTAGAGATACACCTCTCAACTTTTATTGAGCATCTTTCAGATCTGGACTTTCTATAGTCATGAAGAAAGTATCATGTTATCTCAAGAGGTGGTGGTAAATAAATGAAACCATTACATCAGCCAGTACTTAAAAACGCCACATCAGATGAAATGGCATTTTAAAATATGGTAACTCCAACTTTAGATGGACATATCGTTTCATCCTAATTTGGTACAAATTCAGAGAAGACGTATATTTACTGATTCCTCCTAATGCAGCCAGCTCTTCCTTTCTCCATATTCCCATCTGAGCCGCTCTCAGACATCCCTCCCCTGCCTTCGTTCCCTCAGGTCGTCTCTAATAAGCACCTTTCCAACCAGGAACAAATTTGGAACGGGGAATCGTTCCCTTTTGCCTCAATCCATCATTTTAATGAGTGGAGGTGTGTCCTGGGCCCTCAATGAGATGCAGGTGATTAAAGATATTAAGCGGATACACAGTCAGCCCGGCTGCATAATGGTATGTATATTCACAATGAGGTCAGACTGTCTGTTCTGGTCGTCACAGTTACTCTACCTGTGAGTTCAAGAACAATGCCTGCGGATGCAGCCTGTGTTTGAGCCGTCTGAGTACAGCTACAATGAACCATAATGTAGCCAACGGAGCTGTTAAAAAATTTTTTATAAGTAAAGCTGTTTTAAACCACAATTAATATTGACTAATATGCAACGCTTATATTATGACATTTTTTATTATATTGTTCCAGAGTCACTCTAAAGAGAAGAACATGAAAAGGGGGATATCTTTCACAAAAAGCAGGTTTAGCAGAAATTTACTTTTGCAACAAAACACAAACTGTACACTGTATTTTCATAACTATAATCAATTATTCCATGGAAATATAAACTAAATTTTTTCTGTTTTAAAGTGAATACATTAACAATCTCCTGCCCATGTTTTATTGCCCTGGTTGGCACGAGCCTGCATAAGGTTTTTATGATATGATAAACATACTATGGTTTTACAGTATCAACAGCAGCATAAATCCTCTTTTGTCAGCATTTAAATACATTTTATTGTGTATTAAAAGGCAGTAGATCATCTCTCTTGCTGCTGCATAGATATCTTTATATTCAGTTTGAGTCATATTTTTCCAATCTGTTCAGTTTTCTCTTTTCTATTTTTTCTGTTGTTTATTTTTTGCCACAGTATTAGTTAGCCAATTTTAGACTTCCCCAAATTCACCAGTTTTATTATTCATTGCAATTTTGTAGTCCAAGTTCAAGGATGATGAAGCTACAAGTGCAACTCCAGTCAAAATATTAACCTCCACAATTCATTCAGTTCGTCTTTCCTATGGACACGACAGTCAGCCAAGCGATAAGCTAATAACGCTAAAAAGAAAAACTATTTTTACACAAGAATTTACTGTGTGTTTGTATCGTCCTCGCCGTTGTTTGGATGGAAATCACACCGTAACTCTTGTTGATGTTAGCACCCTGTGACATGTTCAGTTTGCTGCCGTTTTTAGTTGTTTTTGTCTTGGGGAACTTATGATAAGTGTCGGTGACATTTCTGCTCTGCTATGAAACTACCAAAATGGCTGACCCGTTTTACCACGAGGAGGGAAGACACAACTCAGAACAGAGGTGGAGCTACAACCAGGCCAGGACTTACAACATGGCTCCACTTTAGAACAAAAACCACAGGTTACATATTATATATTGACAACAGAGATGATAGTCAGTAGTAACATAGTAATATTTATAGAAATGACCTTCAGTGACCATCAAATGCAGGCTGAAACAATTCTTTAAGAGCAATTCTACGGATTTTGCTCGTGTGAAATTTTCCACCAAAGAATGATGTATTCTTAAACAAAAGATTGACAAATTTCCCAAATTGAGGATAAGCCCCAATTATTCTGCACAGCAACATGCAAATCATGTACTAACTTGTAAGTCACATTAACCTCTCCTCCTCTTTCAGCTTCCTCCCTCTTTATTCCTGCAGTGTTTCACTTTTCTTTTCTTTTTTTTCTCTCTCTCTTTCCTATCAATGATTGAAACTACTGTTGCTTTCAACTCGGTCCCAGCAGCTGAAAACTAATTTCTTTTGTGCACATTCAGGCTGTCTCTCGTTTCTGATCGCCAAACTGCTTCATTAACCTCCTTCCCATGCTCGGAGGTAATTAAGTGAACAGCTGTGCACTGTCTGACAACTCATCTTAGTGTTGCAACCCTCTGCGGGAACGCCGGCGAGGAAGCCGTCTTCGCAGGTGCGCGGTGTTTAGACAGCTCACCGGCGCCTCTCCACCGCCATTTACTCTACAGCTGCAGGTCAAACGCCACCTCTTCAGATAATCAGTCAAAACTCTCCCAGGATTGGCAGCCAGTTTCACGTCGTCGCAAAAAGTTGCTTCTAATCAGTTTCAAACGCTCTAAGCTCGTTTCGTCTTGTGAAAACGGAGCGCTTGTGTAAAAGGAGAAGCATCGGGCTACCTGATGAGGACGCGTGGAAGGCAGCCAAATTTTTTTTATTAACACAAGAAGTAATT